GGGGGGGCGCACCAGTGTCGCCCCCCCCCCCCCCTCATGTGACTCAATGACTCAGGCTGCTTCATTATAGGGACAGCCCTGATAGCCACAATCATACTAAGGGTCTTCTATGAGTAGTCGTGGGTAATGTCTGCCTAAATCATTATCTTTTATGGGTGCAGTGAAATCTGGCCAACAGTATTGTATAAAAAAGTATGTATAACAGGGCTGAACAAATCTCAGGAGCCAAGTGGCCACATTACAGCTGACACCTAACTTTTGAGGTTTTCTCTAGTTGTCTTTAACAAAGCTGGCACGTAAACAAAATTCTGCTCCCTCCTGGATTGGACAAACTGGCTCCTGAATCCCATATTAATTGTCCACCCCTGAGTTGATTATTTAATATGTACCTGATTACTGTGCTGCTGTGTTACTAATTGGATTAGAAATGCCCAAGTTCAGAGGTAGGATTGCCAAGAAGGGAGATAAGACGGCAGATGCCCTATAATGATTTCGCTATAGTCACCTGCAATAAAATATTGCAGTATGGAGACAAACACCCAGATTACATGGGCAGGGGATGTACCATGACCTCATACATCACTCAGTCAGTTAGTGTTTCTTCCTACTCACACATTAATGATTATCAACTGATTGGATCTATAATATCCAACATGTGACAACAAGGAAAAGATTGGGAAAGTACAAGTCCACTGTTGCACGTCAGCACGTGGCGGTCAAATTACTTTAGGTATTCCTGACTCAGCATCGGATGATCTTTTCCTGACAGACCTTTCACTTAAAAAGGTGACTTGTGCACTGCTGCTAACATCCTGGCATAGTCAGGGTATCAGTAGATGTATGGGGGGAAAAGGTGTAACAAGACAAAACAGATGTAGGGTGGTTTTTAACATATACACGCTGCAAGCAAAGGAGAACAATAAAATAATGGTATACGAAGTCTGAAGGATACAACCATGGAGCTCTTTCCTGTAAAGAAAACAAAAACAGATCATGTAACTGGTAAACCATGAACAGTATTATTAGCTGACTCCTCGGATGCAGTGTGCAAAAGCTCCTCTATAAACCCACCTTGTACCAAAAGCGCGCTCTTCTAGTGGACCGTCCTATTTTATTTGTGTCTGTGATATATCAGTTTTATACAACATAATGTATTGCTTTTGGAAATTACGCATTGCATGCATTCCGGACAGATGGGGCTGTGCAGTCATTCCTTTTTAAACGGATATTTTAGTTTTTGTAGTTGTTGGAGAATTCGACCACCTAACAATTTCTTGTATCTCCAGGGGACTCTATTCGCTGTGACCATTATGAGGGGGTCCTGCTTCTCTGATTGGGTTTATTTTTTATTATGAGGAATGCAAAAGGTGGTATTGGACTATGGAAAAGTGCTATTGGAACATGGAAAGTTGTTGCAGGAACATAAAAAAGATAGGACCAATCCCATCTTTTTTATGTTGCAGCAACAACTTTTCATGGAAAGGTGGAGCCTAAACATGTAAAGGTGGTACTGGAACATGTAAAGGTGGTACTGGAACATGGAAAGGTGGTGCTGGAACATGGAAAGGTGGTGCTGGAACATGGAAAGGCGGTGCTGGAACATGGGAAGGTGGTGCTGGAACATGGGAAGGTGGTGCCGAAACATGGAAAAGTGGTACTAAAATATGGAACGGTGGTGCTGGAATATGGAACGGTGGTGCTGGAATATGGAGAGGTGGTACTGGAAGTGAAAGAGAAGTAGGTATGCAATCACAAGAATACTGAATGAAATCCTACTGAATGGAAGTACTGAGAGAAATATAGCGGCTGCCATTGCTGACCTCTCTTTGTCCAAATGTTAGTTGCCTGGCTGTCATACTGATCCAATACTTACTGAATAACAAACCAGGAAAATTCCAGTTCCCTGGCTGTCAAGGTGATGCTCTGGTTTCAATCATTTCTGAGTTGCTGGCCTGAAATAAGCATGCAGCCAGTGAAAAGACAACAGTTGAACTGCATAATTGTTTCAGGTCAGTAACTGAGAAAGTGTTAAAGCCAGAGAAGTCAGCATGATGGCCAACGAAACCTTTCAGAAAAAGGTCAGTGATGGCACTTTGTAAGCATGTTGTGTCCATGAGGAATATTTATCAAATACATGAGAAAACAGTCAAAAACCTTAAAATAATATTTATAGTCCGCAATCAGGATTCACCTACCATCACCTGGGGAAGTGAGACAAGGATACTACTGTACATTGATCTCTATGGGAAACAACTCACTTTTCTCACCACATACTGTATATTGAAGACTTTTTATTCCTAAACAGCCCCCAACATGACTTGTACGGCCTCTTGTCCCATTAGCAGTTATGTAGAAGAAGTGATCGGAATGAGAGACGTCATTTGGCTAAAGTAGATCTAAATTCCATTCCTGCACAATCATATCAGCATTTTCACTCAGCAGCTTTCACTCAGGATGGATTCACACCTTTCCATTTCAGTTTTTTTCAGGTGTTTTCCATTGAAATAAATAAAAATGCATCAAACGCCTGTCAATGCATACATCAAGCCACATGCTGACACAAGTGAATGCATTGTGATGTGCATTGATGCGTATTGATATGCGATATGACTAGAGATGCACCGATACCGTTTTTTCAGTATCGAGTACCGATATTAATATTGCGGTACTCGCAGATACCGAGTACCGCTACCGGTACTTCCGCTAGCATGGAGCCAGTTACACAGCCAATCAGGAAGCCGGGAGGCTGGTCATTACCCGCCGCTCGGCTTCCTGACTGGCCAGGAAGCCGGCTCCGTGTTGTGTGGCCAGTTCGATGCTGATTGGATGAGAAGCCAGCCTACCAGCCAATCAGAATCGAGATGGATGTTTGGCACCTACCGGTAGTCCATTTTGGGTAATGTTACCTTGTCTGTGTTTGCAAGAGTTGTGTAGTTGTCATGTCTGTACACAAGGTCTTCCCTCCACTGCAGCTCACATCCCATCTTTTATTAGGTACCAGGAGATGTATGAGAGATTGGTGCAAGAGCCCAATGGCGACTACAAAAATGCTGATTGGCTGGCTCAATGCCAATTGGCTGGGAAGCTGGCTTCCCAGCCAATCAGCATTGAGCCAGCCAAACAGCACGGAGCAGGTTTCCCAGCCAATCAGGAAGCCAGGCAGCAAGTCATTACCTGCCGCCCGGCTTCCTGATTGGCCGGAGAGCCGGCTCCATATTCTCTCTTGGCATTGCTGGTCAGAGGAAATCTCCCTCTGATCGGAAGTTCCGGTATAGGAGCCTTTGGGCGAGTACGAGTACTCGCCGAAATTCTTGGTATAGGCACAGATACTAGTATCAGTATCGGTGCATTCCTAGTTATGACACGTGTTGACATTCAATACAAAGAACAAAACGCACACACTGACACGCATTTTGATGTGTTTCTATTTATTTCAATAGAAAATGCATCAGAGACGGAGATAAAAAACAAAACAAAAAAACACATAAGTGTGAATGGGGCCTAAAAAAATACCTGGTGACCCTGCCATGAAAGTCCTTCTTCAGGCACCTCCTGTTATAGGGTGAAAAACGTGCTCACAATTGTACTCTTGCGTTGTCAAGCTGTCATATGACACATGTGACACACATTGCAGATTGTTGTCTTTATCAAAGACCGCTCCAGATCAATGACATGCCACCGACGTTGGAGTGTGTATATGTAGACAAGAAGTGGATGAAAAAGCCTGGAGGAGATCAGTAATAACCAGGTACAAAACAGAAAACAAAAAGGGTGAAGACATGATTTTTTTTTTTTTTTTAAAAAGGGCAGCCCAGTTCATTAGAAAACTAAGGGGTCTATTAATAAAGCAGTGAATCTGACATTCACTGCAGGTGAATCTTTCTGGTGCATGTGTTTGATTCCCCACTAGTAAAAGTCACATTCATTGCTTTATAAATCTAAATTTACAGGTAATCTCTACTTTAATTCAAGGAATTCTGCTGGTAGAATGAAATCACTTCGATACACATATTTTCACAACAGCGCATATCATCATCCTCAACCTTATATAAAGCATTGACATTTTACTTTTCAATGAAGTAGTACAGGACTACAAACGCCCCATCAATAATGCTTTCTGCATTATAATTTATTCTGGCTTTTGAGGATTCTGGCTCCTCAAAAGATACCAGAAACGGGGTTCTAGGCCTGGTTTGGGGGGAACTGCTGTAACTATGGTAACGCGTCTTTCACCTACCTCTCCTGGACAGCGCCATATTCCTGTGTGCTGAGATCGGGTATTCTCGGCTATTTCCGGTGTTCCGTGGGATTGCATCCTCCAATGCTAGTTAACGCGAGCAGCCATCTTTATTAAGGGCAAACTTGCAGGCTTTTGGAATTGTACCGCTGCTGCCCCTGTTTCTGAGTGGAACTTTCTTTATAATAGTACAGGAGTTTGCTGAGAGAAGAGGCTAAAATGTACACCGAGGGTGCAACACAGTATAGCAAAGAGAAGTTTTATTCAAAAACGGAAGCATGACCTTCTCCAATCAGGAAACGGAGGCACACGCATGCGCACTAGGTTTTTGGCGCTCGGGTGTGTACAATCGGCTCCGGAGCCATCTTCGGTGACAATCGGCTTTTCTCGGTGGTTTCCGTCAGCGGCCAAAGCGGCTGGAAATCGCGAAGAGCTCGGGAATTTCCGTAAACCATCGGGTCTTTCCGCATGATCCCGTTTATTCCTTTTACTTTTCGGAAAGGGTGATCGGGTGTTGTCGAGGTCCACTTTCGTGTGTTTCCGGAAGTCTGTTCGGCTGTTTCCGGAGAGATGGACGAGGCTCAAGCAACCCGGCTAGGGTTATCAGAAGCAGCGGCAGCAGTGGCTGCGGTGGCTGCTGCTGCTGTACGGGATGGGCCAGAAGTTGCCTCGGTCACTGTCATGACTGGGCCCGATGGAAGAAGCCCTGCAGGAAACGGCTATACAGGTGAGGGGTATTGTTGTATTGCCGTGTGTCCGCTAGGTGGACCCGTGTATCTGTAGTTATCATCTGCTGCATTTTTTAAATGTAATGCCCGTGATGACCACTAGATGGGACTGTTGACTGATGGGCAGTTTCTTTCTTCTTGCCTTCCAGTGATACAACTGGCCCCTAAAAGGGCTACTATGATGTATATTGGTAATATACTGTATATATAGTGTTCTGAAGACAGACTTTCCCTAATAATCCTTGGTACGTATAAGTTAAAAAGAAGGGTTGCAGCATTATTCAAATTTCTTTGATGAGTCTGGACTTGGTTCAAACCCAGTTCGCTTGAGTTTGGCCAAGCACGCTCAAAACTGACTGCCATCCCACATCCTGGCCCAATCAGTTGCAGAGAGGCGCATTCTCCGCCACGCAGCTATTGGCAACGTTGTGGGAAATGCCCCCACCGCAACTGCTGCGACTGATTGGCCTGAGAGCGGCGGGCACGGTTTTGGGCGGGCTTGGCCGAACTCATGCGAACTGGTGGCCGAGAACAGACTTCCTTTCATTCAGACGTTCAATGGCACAGCACATCTGGCTAAGCAGAACAATCAGCGATTATCTTGTCCAAGGAGACCCCAGGCCAAAATATTCTAAAGCACCTATCAGGATTTCCCAGCGTACCGGATGCTTCAGATGTCAAAAATGCAACATCTGCAATTCACTCCTGACAGGGGATAGCTTTTCACACCCGCATAGTGACAGGAGATTCTTCATTAAAGATTATATGAACTGCGATACCGAATCATGTATTTACTTACTCAAATGTCCATGTGGTCTGGTATATATCGGTAAAACCCTGGGGCCGCTTAAATGACGGTTCCAGAAGCACCGGAGTGACATTAGAATAGCAATCAATAAGCTTACCAAAGGTGAAACTTTGGACCTTAATAAACCGGTAGCAGTTCATTTTGCAAATTCAAAACATCAAATACATAAGTTAAGAGGCATGGTCATCGACCATGTCAACCCCCCATATAGGGGGGGCGACCATGACAAAATGCTACTACAGCGGGAGGCGTATTGGATTCATACGCTTGAAACCAACATCGGCTTGCTTCACGTGGCTTCGGGTCGGCCGAACATGCTTAGCATGTTCGGCCGACCTGAAGTGCAGAAGGAGTTCGACTCAGCCGATTCAACATCCGGATCAGCTGAGCCGAACCTCCGGCGGGCTACTCACTGCTGTTCAGTCTATTCTTATAGATGCCGAACAGCAGTGAGTGAATAGCCGAATGCCGCAGAGCGGCATTTGGCTCGGCTGTTCTGCTCGGTCCCTCAGAGGTACCGAGCAGAACAGAAAAAGAGTTTAAAAAGGTAAAAAAAGTAAATAGAAAACGATTGTGCGGAGCTAGCAGTGACAGCTAGCTCCGCCCAATAGTTTCCTATTGTCCGGCGGCTCTGCTGCTGTAAAAAAGAAAACGAGAAAAAAAAAACTCTTCCGGGCGCTCTGGGAGCTTCCCGCTCCCGGTCGCCAAGGAGAGAAACACAGCTGTGTCTTTTTTTCTTTATTCTGACACGAGCGATGTCAGAATAGAAAAAAAAGAGAAATTTTACCATTGAAAAACATTGGTACATGACTATTGGCTATTTCAATTTGCAATAGCCAATAGTAAACTAGCATTGTACCCGCCCTCTGCTGATGGAGAACTGCAGCAGAGGGCGGGTACAATGCTAGTTTACTATTGGCTATTGCAAATTGAAATAGTCAATAGTAATGCCTTAATGCTCTTCAATGGGATTTTTTTTTTTTCTATTCTGACATCGCTCGTGTCAGAATAAAGAAAAAAAAGACACAGCAGTGTTTCTCTCCTTGGCGGCCGGGAGCAGGAGATTCCCGGGGCGCCAGGGAGAGTTAGCTGTTTGGAGATCAGTGTCCCTGGTTAGCAGGTAACCAGGGACGCTGATCTCTCTGCAAGTGGCCGGAGCCAGCCGTAAGATCACGGCTGGCTCCGCCCAGCTGTCAGAAGCAGGCTGTCGGCCGGCCACTCGGCCAGCTTCGGCTTTCAGCATGGCTCAGCCAAACCGATGCATATGCGTTCAGCTCGGCTGAGCCGCTCGGCCATGATCGGGAGCTGTACGGGCTATTGTGAATAGCCCGTAGCCTGCGCACATGAAGTCCTGTGCGTGGCTCCTCCCGTCTGTGTCCCCGGTAACTTTGGTAACCCTGCTAGTGGGCGTGACCCACTGCGCTCGCAGAATCGGCAGTGACTGAGGTAACTCCTTCCCCGCTTTTATCCGGAGCTTCCGCTCTACATTTGATGGAGACAAGCATACTGATGTCCCATTGTTTCCATGATAACCGAGGAAGAGGCCGGCATCCACGGATTTCCGTGTGCGGCTTTTCCCCCCTCTTTTTCCCGCTGCATCGGCCGATAGTGATGTTATCACGAGTACGAGTACTTCCAAGGCGGGCCTCCATCTTCCGCAATGAGCAAGCTCCTGATCTATAGCTGATTGGAGGAAACCATACATATTTTATATCATACCTACTGTGATTCATTGTGTCTTATAATCTGTCACTCTCATGCATTTACAATTGGCGGGAATATGACGCCGGTGATGGGGTCAGTGCGGGGGTTGGTGATTGGCCACTCTGATTAGGGTTGGTGCTATATATCAGTTATGTTTTGTGCACTTACACTGTATGCTTTGCCTGATGAAGGGGATCCCTTGCGACCCCGAAACGTTCGTTGTTTGTTACTATGATGCACGTTAATAAATAGACGTTTTTTTGCAAATCTGGAGTGCCGGTGTCTCTGCTTCTGTTCTCGTTTCAAACCAAGCCCCGGCTCATCTCTATTGGAAACGCTTATTCAGGACATGGCCAAGTCGCTTAAAGGAGAAAGGTGGAGTACTGCTGGCATCATTTACTTACCATCTCAACCAACATCTGCGGTGAAGAGTTCCTTACTAAGGTGATCTGGACTTCTACTTAGACGCTTTGAAATAGACTGCTGAATGCAGAGATCAATATGGAATAGTGGGTCATCTTGTTGGGCCCTGATGTATGCATCTCTCTGTGGTCCCACCAAGTTCCGGTGGTGAGGAGAGGTTTTCTTCTTTGCATCGGATGATCCCTGATTACCATATGCGCTTTAGTTTGCCTCCGGTCAGTTGAAGAAGCATTCTGTGAAACGCGTAGGAATTCCGCATGCCACTGGAAATGACCGACTATATAATCTGTGCCTGTTATTGAGTCATGTTCTGTGACTGTAATAAAATTGTGAATGGGAGATAATGAGTAATCAGTCTGGCTGTGGGAGGCATCATTTAAGGGTCCGCATTGGGGAACAGATAATGTTTTAAGGTGTATTATTTTATGTTGTTTTAATTTTTGTAGAAATAAATGGTGTTTTTATAAAACGTGCAATAAGCGCCTCTAAAAGCCCCATTATACATGTTGTGAACTGAGGGGAGTGTGGCTTATAGGCCATTTGTCTAGGTCAGCCCTGAAGGTAATAATTTCTCTAAAAGAGAACTATTGGGAGAGGAAATTGTACTCTTCCTAATAGTTTGAGCCGGTGTGTGACACCTGTCGGCACTATAGCTTGAGAGCTGAGCAATCACGTACTGCTGATCGCTGAGCTCACGTTCTCCTCCCTGCAGAGAGCGGTGACTGTCAGTCTCCACTCCCCGCAGGGACTCCGCTCTCCCCTCTCTCTCGGTTTCTCCAGCACTCATTGGAGGGACAAGGGAGGGGGGGGGGGCACAGCTGGCTCTGGCTCTAGAGAGGGAGTTCTATATTCATAACACTCCGCTGGTTTCTTTGCTGTGCGGCAAGGATACACCTAGCAGCAGGCAGATGCAAACGACAACAGACTGCTTAGGAGAAACCAAATGAACATAGACTATTAGATCAGTATCAGACTGAATACAATCTGACAACAACTGCTTAACAGGGTGCTACACTTTATACACATGTGCACACTAAAAAATTCATTTACAACTGCATTTTTTTAGATGCTGACGAGATAAGCTGTTTTACAGCTTGCTGCCGGCCGGTGGCTAGATTCGGCAGCTGAATGTAAACAGCGGGCAGTGGGCAGGAGCAATAGCCAGCCTGCTATTGCCTATTTTAAATTGCAATAGCCATTAGCAAGCCGGCTATTTCACCCGCCCATTGAGCATAGGGGCAAACTCTTAGGTCTGCTCCTCTGCTCATTGACAGCAGTGAGTGGGCGGGTGCAATAGCCGACCTGCTATTGGCTATTGCAACTTGCATGTTACTAACTGACATATCCGTCTGGATGTCACAACACTTCTTAAAACTCAAACTTTCAAAAACTGAGCTCATGATATTTCCTCCCGCCCGTGCACCTTCCCACAACTATCCCTCCCTCCCCCATGCCAAGGTGCTACCCTGTTTCCCCGAAAATACAACCTACCCTGAAAATAAGACCTAGAACTATTTTTAGGAATTGCTAAATTATAAGACCTACCCCGAAAATAAGACCTAGTCGTGACCATTCCCAGTGCCGGTGGTGGCATAAGGGGGAACTTGAAGAGCCGCGGGAGAGAATCAGTGGTGCCAACGTAGCCAACGCTAGAGGAAGCGAGGTGGCATCAGAGGGAGCAGAGCCGCATAAGCCGATGCCTACTCTATAGCGCCGGCTCCTGCTGACTCGGACCTCATCTTCTGTATCCAAATCCTGCCACCTTCACCTTCGTAACATCTCCAAAATACGCCCCTTCCTCACCAATGAAACCACAAAGCTACTTATCCACTCACTTGTTATCTCTCGTCTTGACTATTGCAACTCTCTCCTCATTGCCCTACCTCTACACAGGCTATCCCCCCTTCAGTCTATCATGAATGTTGCTGCTAGACTCGTTCACCTAACCAACCGCTCAGTGTCTGCAACCCCCCTCTGCCAATCCACTCACCCAAAAGATAAAATTCTAAATATTAACAATGACTTAAAAAAGCCATCCACAACTCTGCCCCCGGCATATCTCAAACCTTGTCTCAAAGTATCACCCTAACCGTCCCCTCCGCTCTTCCAAAGACCTCCTGCTTTCCAGCTCCCTTGTCATCTCCTCCCATACTCGCCTCCAGGACTTCTCTAGAGTCCCTCTCATCCTCTGGAACTCTTTACCCCAACCTGTCCGACGATCTCCCACTCTGACTGCCTTTCGGCGATCCCTATAGACTCATCTCTTCGGGGAAGCCTATCCCGCCTCAAACTAACCACTCAATCATCACGTTCTAAAACAATTCATCCCCACACAGCTCCCTCCTCATGTATCACCTCCCTCTCCCTTTTAGATTGTAAGCCCTCAGGGGCAGGGCCACCCTTACCATCTTGTCTTGAATTGTATTGTGATTGTAATGTCCTTATATTGTAAAGCGCTATATAAATCCTGTATAATAATAGCCTATAGGAGGCTGGCTATTTCTCCCGCCCACTACCCACTGTTTACATTCACCTGCCAACTGCGGGTGTGGTGACCAATCCGTTCATTTAATGACTATTTGTTACTGTACTTAGATCTGTGCTCCTGGTCCCTTGTTCTTTTTCACCTACAGTTTGAGCATTAGATGTCCGCAAATTATGTATAAACGCAGTGGAATGTTCCACTTTGTGTCTGTAACTGAATTTATTAGCTTGATTCCTTTTTTTCAGAGGTCACAGTGTCCAGTGTTGGAGCACCAGGAGAGAATGTCTTCACCACGTCAGTGGCCAGCACAGCCTCCCTCTCTGATCATGTCCTGGTGAGTATATTCTATTGTAACATTTCTTATACTCCTCCTGCTTAGTACACTTTGAGATGTTGCAGTGCTTCTCGTACTTTATACTTTATGTGTGCTTTGTCACTTCAGGCAGAGAGAGCTTCCCTGCAAATTGGAGACAGCCTGAGCACAGAAAAAGCCACCCTGATAGTAGTACATACCGATGGCAGCATTATGGAAACACAGAACATCAAAGTGCCAACAGCCTCCATGACCCCTGGTGAGATAATGACCTATACACCTCGGAGACATGGTTTATATCATGTGTACACTACAACGCAGTTTCCTTCAAGTTATTAAATCAGAACCCTGGGCAAAAGTGTTCTTAACCCTTGCAGTGGGGTTACCCCTGCATTGCAAGGGTTAACTGCTTCTTTTTGACTAGGTGGTAAAACATAAAGTTATACTCACCCGAACCACAGAGTTGGCTGGCTGCTACTCCAGTCCCTGAAGCCTGCAGCAGAGAGGAGAGGGGCTCCAGGGACTGGTCTAAGAGCAGGCTACCTCTGAGGATAGAATATATTTTTATTTAGCACCTAAAAAAACGAGCACTTGCAATGCTGGGGTAGCCCCACTGCAGGGGTTAAGAGTACTTTTGCCTGGAGTTCTACTTTAATACCAGAAGGAAAGTGCTTTTTCCCCCCAGTAAAATGATGAGAATACTTAAATAACAAAAGAAAACCCATCATGGGATATATGTAAGATGTCATTGCTGATCTGAAAATTCTAGCTACCTGCATGGCTGAGACTTCAATACTTTGTGAGTCACTGACATGAAACAAGCATGTAGCAAAGGATGTCAAAGAAAAATCAGCCCCTCGCAGTACTTCTTCTCTGCCACTGGGTGCCGCCAGTCTTCAAGGTGAAGGTATGTGGCTATATAAGGTCAATGAATGCTGTCACCCCGCCTTTTGCTTTTGCGCAGCTGGATGGCAGGGAATACCCCGGACAGAGCTCTTTGGGTCCACACTGAGACCCCATTCACACTGAGTGACATGAGAAAAAGTGCAATTTTGAGCTGAGTGACATTGAGCTACAGTGCACATTTTGTCGTGCTACGTAGCGCGACTTTTGGCAGGGACTTTGTAGCTGCTACATTGGGCTGTAACTAATCAAAAGCAGTCTTAATGTGACATAATTCCTCTTCTTGTTTCCTACTTATGTTCCTTCTTATATTTCTGTGCAAAAGTGACAATTCATGAGCTACACCATTGAAGTTTATTGGGCCAAATCACACGAAATCCGCCAAAAAATAGGTCATGTTCGAGCGACAAGCTACAGGCGGCATTGAGCTGTGAGAAGTGAACAGCTCCATTGAAATGCATTGGACAAGCAACATTGAGCTACATTGAGCTGATACCCTGTTTTCACGAAAATAAGACCTACCCCGAAAATAAGACCTAGTACTATTTTTGGGAATTGCTAAAATATAAGACCTATCCCGAAAATAAGATCTAGTTGTGACCATTCCCTGGGCCGGTGGTGGCATAAGGGGGAACTTGAAGAGCCGCGGGAGAGGCAGGAGAGAATCAGCGGTGCCAACGAGGAAGCATGGAGGGAGCAGATGCTAAAAAAAAAAATAAGACCTACCCTGAAAATAAGACCTAGTGTGTTTTTTTGAGCCCAAAAAATATAAGACAGTGTCTTATTTTCGGGGAAACGTGGTATTAGAGCGATTTTGGAGCTGAAATGGGGTGTGAATGGGGTCTGACAGCTTCTTTCTGGGTTCAGACAAACTCAAGTTTGGATTGAACCCTAGTTGATTCCTATTGTTCAGTAATGAGTGGCTTTAGTTTATTATCTCAGTCTATGAATACACAGTGTAGTCACCATTCTAATATGGGAATTTATTTAGTAGTGCAGGAAGCAATAACCATATGTAACTTGTAGTAACTCTGAGCAGGCAACCGATTTCTCGTTACTGGAACCATGTTGGTGACAGTTGGATTTCCATTGGTTGCAGCGGGTTATTGCACTTTGCATATTGCTTTACTAAATCAGGCCATTCATTTCTCACTGCGCCATTCATCTTTGCTTTGTCTGTAGGATCTGATAGTTCATCAAACTCGCAGTCCCCAGGACCAGAGAAAGATGGCACAAAATACAACTGGGATCAATCTGCTTATGACAGTGAACTACCTGTGCGGTGTCGTAATATAAGTGGCATCCTGTACAAGAACCGACTCGGATCAGGTAAAACATGACACAAGGATTTCCTTCATCAGAATTCTAGGCAGATATAAATGCTACTCTGTAATTATAATATATTAAATGTATTTTGTAAATGCTGACGGGGCAAGTACTTGAATATGACTTGGTATCAGCCTCATAGAGAGGGATGATAGAAGGAGAGAGCAGGGTAACAGAGAGATGAGCTCATCGGCATGCTGCTTCTCCTACACTGTCCAGTCACAGGTTTGGGGTGGGTAGGAGACCTGTAACCGGAAGTGAAACTGTAGCAGAGAATGATCGGGTCCCCTCCGGTGTCAGACAGGGTTGTGCTGTGTGGCATAGTTGTTTAAATTTTAAAACTGGATGGATAGAAATGCAAATTATTTGACAGGTAAAACATACAGCTCCCTTATATGTATTTCACGGTGTTAGTCTCATTCCCTATTTCACAGTTTGCTGCTGCATTCTGTCAATGCTATCCACAGGTTCATACCCAAGGTAGTGTTAACTGACATGCACAGTTCAGACTGCAAATGTAACAGTAGGGCTCCGCGCAAAAGCATGGTGATCCGGCAGTTTCTTTAGAATGGAAATGTTTTATTCCATTTGGACAGAGTGGGGAAGGGTGGAATTCTCTGTCAGTATTTTATTACCATCTGTTTCTCCTGCTATGGGGGTTAGGAGCAGCAGCTGTGACTGTGAAGAAATCCCGTTGTTCGCCTTCTCCTTCCTTTCCCTTGGCCATTCACAAAACTACTTGTGTTATTGGCACAGAATCCAAGCCATTCTGTGAAAGGAGGAGGGGAAATCCTGTCACTCACCCCCTCCCCCCCTCCTCCATCCACAGGATACCCTTGCATTCTGTGACCATAATACATGGAGTTTTGTGAATGGACCAGGGGAGAGGATGGGAGGGTGAGTGACAGGAATCTTTTACAGTCGCCTCCAGCACTAGAAGCAAAGTGCTGTCAGTAACATCTGACTTCTCTAAAATAAGGGTTTTTAAAGTAACCAGACATGGGATTCACTTCATTAAAGATACATTTTGTGACTGGTGTTGTATGCCCCCCAAACATTTACTAGACTTTGGCTGGACTTCAGGCAATCAGATAAATGCATAGCCCATAGGAGCGCTACATGTCTGTAGGTAGTTTATTGGCATCTAACAGTGCGTAAAGAAAGAGAGTCCTGGCTGGCTCAGAGTGCTGTCCCTTCTTCTCTGAAACTGCTATGCAAAAGATTACAAGATATACTGTACTCAGGTACTTGAACCAGATGTATTTAAAACTGAACTCCAGGCAAATATTCAAAAACATACCAATGGATGCAGTTATTTATATCATTATTTAAAAAAAAAACAAAAAAAAACATTAAAGGTAATTCTAGCATTTGGGCTAGGAGAGGGAAGAGCACTTAGTCAGGTGTCCCACATGCACATGTGCTGACAAGGTACATGTCATAAGGCCCCTTTTACACGGGCTGATCATGAGGGGATAAGTGCACGGACCACCTCTTGATCAGAGCAGTACGGATCCAATGTCAGCACTGTGGCATCCGTTGAGTTGGTGGTAACTGGATGTAAACGGAAACCCATCCATTTAGATTGAGCTGCCCATAGACTTACATTAGGAATCTGATTGGTTCTGCTTGAAAAACTGACAGGCAGACCCGATCAGAATGCCCATGTGAAAGGGGCCTAAGGAGGAGATCGCAGAAATATGACCTCATCAGTTGCTAATCCTTCATTAACTAGTCCCAGGTTGGAGGAAGGAAGGTGGACTGACTTGTGTTGCTTAACTGCAGCAAAGAAAGGGTGAGTCCCCAACCTGCCTGTACAGTCTGGCAGAGCTATGTAAATTTCAGACCTGAATGGGCAGATTACCAATCATTGGGCAGGTAAGACAGCTCCCATATATGGATTTCGTCTGTATTTAGATATTTTCCTGAAGTTCAGCTTACAAGAATACAGTTAATATTTGTTTGTAATGACTAAATATGGCTGAACTAAAAGGTGTCTTTATATTTTGCAAACTGGTTTGACAACATGCAAAGTGCAGTATCAATCAACAGCTGTCAGCTCTCAGTTTACTTTTATGACTTATTGGAAAATCTCAGCTGAACAATATATGCCTGATTTATTGTGATCATTGTGCTTTGATAGGAGGCCGTGGGCGGTGTGTGAAGCATGGAGATGGGTGGTACACTCCAACGGAGTTTGAGGCCATGGCAGGCAGAGCCAGCAGCAAAGACTGGAAAAGAAGTATCCGATATGCAGGAAGACCCCTACAGTGCCTTATACAGGTGAGCCCAGAGGATAAAGCCTATAAAACTGGGAGTAGAAAATATGTGTGTTGCTCCGAACAGCCAGACATTACTTCCTTTCCTAGTCTGCACTACAAACAGGCAGCTCCAATATGAATAACTGAGGAGGGCAGCATAGTTTATACTCCTCTACACAGGGCCGCCGATGGGAGGGTACAGCCAGCACTCCCACACCAGGCCCATGCTCTTATAATAACAGCAGGGGCGGTGCAGCACGGCCCCTGCCCACACAGCTTCCCCCCAACGAGGACTCCCTGCAATGCCTGTCAAGTACAAGTGGTTGTACAGCCCCCCAGATCACCTATATTAGCCTGTGATCGTGCAGCTCCCCACTGATGTCTCCATAAAGAGAACTTGTCACCTCCAACTGCTATGACATAGGGGGTTGTTAACTCCTTTTGTGAAAGCAAAAGTTAAGTGGAAAAAAAAACATCTAAAAAAGGTGATAGAAAAAATAATAAAAAATAAATAAATAAAACCAACCCCGCCACCCCCACCATTTGATTCAAAGGAAAGTGTGCACGTAGTGCATGCACATGAATGTAAACAGGAAGAAGGGAGCTCTGCCAGGTAGGCTGTACTGGGCCCCATGATTTCTAATGGCGGCCCTGCCACTGCATCAGGGGTGGTCCAACTCCGGCCTTCCAGCTGTGGCGACACTTCAAATACCATCATGCATCTGCCTTTGGGAGTTATGCCTGGGGCTATTGAAGTCTTGCAATGCCTAATAGGATTTGTAGTTCCACCACAGCTGGAGAGCCAGTTTTCCCAGCCCTGCTCCACATTTTAGACAAAGGGCTTAAAGGAGAGAAGTACAGCGGCTACTATTGTTGTCTTCTTCTTATGAAGATGCTAGTTGCTTAGCTGTCATTCTGACCTTCTTCCTTCAATCACTAACCAGAACAGGTTTGCAGATAAGGACTTATAACTTCTCTCCGACTTTCCTGATCTGCATACTTTTCATGTGTTGGTAAAACAAAAAATAATGAAGCCAAAGACTCAACATGATAACCAGGCACTTAGCATTTGCAGAAAGAGGTTGCACCACTTATATCTTCATGTCAGCTGTGTATGTGTGTGTTTATTGCTATTTAGTGTAGCTCCCGACTCTAATGTATAAAGCGGACCTCTACACTAAAAAATCAAATTCTACCATTGCGTTCCTCTATGTATGAGGATTAATAATAACATAGACATGTCAGGGGTAAAATGCTGTGACTAGGAAATATACACTTGCAGAGCATTCACTTCCTGCTTTGAAAGTGCAAAATGACTTCAGTTTGGCAAAGCAATGCACACTGGGATTGCCTTGTCATCAGCAGAGCGTTGCTGGGGAATCTCATCTGTAATCTCACGAGATCTCAGGGAAAGGCATTTTCCTCCCCTGAGATGATGTGCATGGTCACATGTCTAGTCACATGTGCCATAAATCCAGGAAGTAATAGGAGAGCTAGTAATCTGCCCTTAGTAAACATGGCCACTGTCAGAAGACTGGGGAAGAAAACAGAAATACGGTATGCAGAGAATACGAAGCAGGCAATGATCTAGAAGTATGTGTTTGTAGATTGTCATCACTAAACATTTCTAAAGGTTTTTTTTGTTTAAGCTGGCCATACACCAGTATAGTCATAGTATAGTTCTGTTCCACGAAATGTGTTTTTGGAATGTTCATTCGATCTCCGATAGTCAATAAGGTCAAATCAACAATCGTTTTCAACCGTAGTGATGGAAAAAATCGGAGGAGCAGGATGGACATTTCTCTCAAACTAATTACATTATAACAGTGATTGTTGTTTTCGTTCCGGATACTCCATTCACTCCAAGATTGAATGTTAAAATCAAACGAAATTTTGAATGACATTGTAGAGGTCTCTGATAGCATTATTGAATGTTTGTGCAAAAATCTTCCAGTATATGGCCAGTTTTACACTGTGCGGGATGTCTCAGTGCTGAACATTAATACTCCTGGTCATTGCGTGTGAGGGCCGTTCACATTTATGCTTTGGAGTAATGCGTGGAAAAATGCTTGTTTTACTGTAGATTACTGCAGCAGAGGTTGGTTTGGTGCCAAGCATTGTGGTGAAATTCATTTTTTGAATGGCATTACAATCGAACAATAGTGGGCCATGCACCCACATTGCAGTATACCACAACATAGCACAACATAGCACAACATACTGTACATGTTGTGTGTTTTGGGTCAGGTCTGTTTTTTTATTTGTAAAGGGGAGCTGCCAGCCCATTCAAAATCCTTATCGCATGTGAGTTAAAGTGACATTAAACCCTCAGATTTTTTAACATACACCAATACTGTAATGTGTGCCTTACTGTAATCCATGGTTGTTTCCCTTCTCTTTGCTGCTCTTCCTTAGTTTATTGCTATTTAGTGTAGCTCCCGACTCTAATGTATAAAGCGGACCTCTACACTAAAAAATCAAATTCTACCATTGCGTTCCTCTATGTATGAGGATTAATAATAACATAGACATGTCAGGGGTAAAATGCTGTGACTAGGAAATATACACTTGCAGAGCATTCACTTCCTGCTTTGAAAGTGCAAAATGACTTCAGTTTGGCAAAGCAATGCACACTGGGATTGCCTTGTCATCAGCAGAGCGTTGCTGGGGAATCTCATCTGTAATCTCACGAGATCTCAGGGAAAGGCATTTTCCTCCCCTGAGATGATGTGCATGGTCACATGTCTAGTCACATGTGCCATAAATCCAGGAAGTAATAGGAGAGCTAGTAATCTGCCCTTAGTAAACATGGCCACTGTCAGAAGACTGGGGAAGAAAACAGAAATACGGTATGCAGAGAATACGAAGCAGGCAATGATCTAGAAGTATGTGTTTGTAGATTGTCATCACTAAACATTTCTAAAGGTTTTTTTTGTTTAAGCTGGCCATACACCAGTATAGTCATAGTATAGTTTTGTTCCACGAAATGTGTTTTTGGAATGTTCATTCGATCTCCGATAGTCAATAAGGTCAAATCAACAATCGTTTTCAACCGTAGTGATGGAAAAAATCGGAGGAGCAGGATGGACATTTCTCTCAAACTAATTACATTATAACAGTGATTGTTGTTTTCGTTCCGGATACTCCATTCACTCCAAGATTGAATGTTAAAATCAAACGAAATTTTGAATGACATTGTAGAGGTCTCTGATAGCATTATTGAATGTTTGTGCAAAAATCTTCCAGTATATGGCCAGTTTTACACTGTGCGGGATGTCTCAGTGCTGAACATTAATACTCCTGGTCATTGCGTGTGAGGGCCGTTCACATTTATGCTTTGGAGTAATGCGTGGAAAAATGCTTGTTTTACTGTAGATTACTGCAGCAGAGGTTGGTTTGGTGCCAAGCATTGTGGTGAAATTCATTTTTTGAATGGCATTACAATCGAACAATAGTGGGCCATGCACCCACATTGCAGTATACCACAACATAGCACAACATAGCACAACATACTGTACATGTTGTGTGTTTTGGGTCAGGTCTGTTTTTTTATTTGTAAAGGGGAGCTGCCAGCCCATTCAAAATCCTTATCGCATGTGAGTTAAAGTGACATTAAACCCTCAGATTTTTTAACATACACCAATACTGTAATGTGTGCCTTACTGTAATCCATGGTTGTTTCCCTTCTCTTTGCTGCTCTTCCTTTTTAAATCCTCATGTCTTCTCATGCTTGGGAAGAACTTCCCTTTTCAGCTCAGGGCCTCTTCCTGTAGTGCTGGCTCAGGTTTCAAGCCTATAGAAACCTATACACAGACACCGTGTATCCATTCCTGAGGCAAGGCAGTCTGCTGCAAAACAGAAGTTCTGCAGAGCATGAGAACAGATACAGATTTAAAAGGAAGAGCAGCAAAGAGAAAGGAAACAACCATGGAGTACAGTAAGGCGCACATTACAGTATTGTTTTATGTTAAAAAATCTGAGGGTTTAATGTCACTTCAATGCAAGGCATGGTGTGAATGGGCCCTCAGGGCCCATTCACACCATGTCCGGATCAGATGCGGTACGTTACATTTTTCTTCCGCAACAAAAATGCATCCCAGTGCAGGAAAAAAAATGCTGCATGTCACATTTTTCCTGCACTGGAACGCACCCGAATGCGTCACAAACGCACCGCACTGGAACGCAACAGAAGCTATGACATGGAGCAGGAAGAGATTAATTTGCATAATGACATTACCCCCAAAAAACATGCGTTCGGGTGCATTCCAGTGCAGGAAAAATGTGACATGCAGCATTTTTTTCCTGCACTGGAACCGACTTAAACAGAGCCCAAAAATCACATACAAATGCATTGGGATGCATTTTTGGTGCGGAAGAAAAATGTCACGTACCGCATCTGATCCGGACATGGTGTGAATGGGCCCTTAAAGAATATAGATCTTAGCAGCAGGTATTCTCCGGGGTAGAGGAAGCTGTTACAATTCAGGGACACTGAGGGATAAAAACACAAACTATCAATGGTCGTGTCCATTGTACAGAACATTCAGTGGATTTCTGTACACAATGCACCAATAAGTGAGAACATGGAATCCCTATAATAGTCCCAAGTACAATATAATGTGCTCATGTTGCAAACCCCATTTGTGCCGGAGAGCATAATCAGTCTAGGACCATATGTAGTAATATAGACCATAAGGCCTCGTTCACACCTGAACGTTTTGTAGCGCGTTCTACGCTCGACGAACGCTCTACAAAACGCTCAAAAATATAAATCCCATTGTAGTCAATGGTCTCGTTCCCACCTTGGCGTATTTCCGCCCGTCCCCAACGCGCTACAAAACGGCCCACGCCTGAAAAGGTACATGTACTACTTTGGGCCGTTTTGTAGCGCGTTTCCATTGGGATACAGCCAAGTAGCCCTCGGAAACGCGCGTGTGTCGCGCGATTTTTTTACCGCGAATCGCGGTAAAAAAACCACGTGACAGACGCGCATATGCAATACGCCTAGGTGTGAACCAGGCCTAAATGTCCTCACCGGTATAATCATACTGTACATTTTAATATGCAGGAACCCTAATGCTGAACTGTGTGTATGTGCTTGCAGGATGGCCTGCTGACCCCTCATGCTGCATCCTGTACGTGTGCAGCCTGCTGTGATGACCTCAGTCTGGTAAGTGGCACGTGTAATACATTACGTGGATCATAGTCCACTGTTTAAAAGGCCGCTGCACCTTAAACTCAATATGTAAAAAGCAATAATTAACATGAGACACAAAAAGGTGTCAATGTTTCTGTGCTTTCATTTCTTAAACGTATTATTTCACATTGCTTTTAGGAGAACCAGCCCTGATTTTCTGTATTTGTTAAGGGCCCGTTCACACCAATTGCGGTGTTCCGGAGTGGTAGGTGCTGGAACGCACAGCAACCGCACACTAAACTTCCCCCTTCGTTCTGGGGTGGGAGGGGGCGTGGCGGTGCATTGAAGTCAATGGCACCACAGCCACGCGTCCCGCCTGCAGTGCGATTGGACACGTGGCAAAACATTGTCTAGTGCGAACGCAAATAAATGCTGCATTTTTTGCATTTGCACTGGACTGGAATTGGTGTGAACTGGCCCTAAAGCTGAAGTTTAATCTTCTTATATTTTTCCTTTCCTGGTTCCTCCCTCCCCCGTAATCAACATTGTAATTACATTTTTGATTTTTGTTTTCATTCTTTGTTTTAGACCTAGTCATGTGATCACTAGGTCTCCGTACTGCTGTATGCATTGCAAGCAGATCATTGTTTGTTGAAGGGGGTGTTCATTGCTTCCTGAAAATATTTCAGCACCCTTACTTAGTACTCCTGCCAAAAGTGCTCAGGCCTGATGCAAATTGTGGGCTGGACAGGAGTTATTTAAATATCAAAATGCTTTGATGGCTGGATGTTAGTCTGGAGAGGTTCCTAGGCAGGCTGCATTTGCATACATTGATGATACATCATCGCACTTCAGACCGACATATCTCTCCTTGCAACTGCAGCGGGTGCTGAAATGGCCCTCCTATGGTACCACAAAGACAATAGAGACACATTGTGACTCATTACAATCTTTTGTGATAGCATATTTATCTAACGTCAATAAAGGATGGGTTGATAATGTGGACCCTTTACCTCTATTGCATTTGTATACAGACCACTCAAGGTAAGGCTCACATGTGATGCTCAGCCTCTATGATTGAAAATACTGAAATCCAATGAAAGAAAGGGCCAGGCCAGGGACAGTTAGATGATGCTGGATGTCCCCCCACCAGGAAATGAGGTGGGCTCTATCTGACTTGCTGCAGCTTCTAATGCACACTGTGAGAAGCTCACAATGTGTAGTGAATTCAGAGTAAGCAACTACAGCACAGGAGATGAGCCTATACAGCTGTGAAAGACTGAAGGCAAGGCTGGAGTTCAGCTTTAATCCAATCCAGCATTGCTAGTTGAGCAGAAGAGGAGCTTTTCAATTATGTCTATCATACTTGGTTTGATGTCCATCCTTCTGGAAGAGCCTAGCATCAGTTCATGTCTTCCTTGGTTATTTCTTCCCTAGTAACAAAGAATGACTTATGATCACTCCATATATTTTCAGTTAGTAGGACGATGGATATATAAACGTATAGTGCCCTCTTGGGACTCTGCTTTGCTGATTTGTCAGGTTTTATATCTCTGAGTTCCCGGAGGACTCCAATGCACTTACAGATCTTGACACCAGACACCTTTTCCAGAAGATGTGTCAATCTTGTGTGCAGCGTCGGATCTCTTCGGCTTTTGATGTTGTGCTGATTCTGCCACCTCAGCTTGTCGTCTATTGCTCCTTATTATCTATGCAAGTTCTTGAAGGAAAAGTCTACTTAATTGTTTTGTGGCATTTAATTGTATTCATGTGAAATGAAACACTTGATAGCCAATTCCTACTATGCCGGAGGAACTTTCCTTTCCTGTCACCCAATGACATTCAAATAGTCCTTGGCATAAAATAATCACAACACTCCACCAAAGCAGTCTGGTTTTCTCTATGAGATCATAAGGAAACTCTAATATACAGTATGTTCAATCACCATAGATTTTGGGTCATATAGTAATGTTTGCCATCTAAAGTATTTTTTATCTGCAGCGCACATTTTGTCATGGGTGCGTCTCCATTTTTTTGCTACTGTATTAAACATAGTGTTGGGAGATTAGGCTCTAGGCTGAGCAGAATCCTAATTTGCAATCACTCTGCCTTCTGTACTCTACTCCATCAGGAGGGAATGTACTATACCATGGCAATCCTAGTGTAGTTTAATGTATACTGAAGGTTTTAGGAGCGACAAAGTGTTTCAGGATCTGTGCCCACTACAGCAGGGTTAATAATAAACGCATAATAAATATATTTATATAATTTATACAGTATATGTTTGTATGAACTGTGTATATATATAGATATATATATATATATATCTACATATATATATATCTATATCTATAATGTAAATATATTTATGATTATATAATTTAACTATTTTGTTTATGTGTTTAAATTTAAATAACTGATTCAAATATGTTTTATTATTAGCCCTGATGAAGGGGACTCAAATACTTGAAATGGGTTTGTGCTCCTAGAACCTTCAAAAAACATTCCTGCTATTATATATAAAGATTATCGTGGTATAGTATGTCCTTTCAACCAGAGCCGTAGCTAGCTCCTTTTGCTCCCGAGGCCCCAACAGGCGTGTGATGTCACCCAGTGTCCCGCATGCACGGCGCCATGTGATTTCATGTGCCTCGCCTCCAGGATGTGTTTTTTTATTATTGTTTATTTTTATTATTATTTTAATTTTTTTTTTTACTGTTGGGGTGGGGGGGCTTCAGTTAAATATTAGGGGACTAAACAGCCTCCTGATATTTCCCTTTTAAACTAGAAAAAGAAATTGAGAACACAAAATCCTCAATCTCTTTTTCTGCAGCCTCTGTTCTTTTCATTCATTCAGAACAGAGGCTTTTCATTCATTCACAAAATATTTACTATCAAGCAGTTTCTGAATGGATAGAAGCCTCTGTACAGAGTGCTACTCCCCATTGAGAAACTCATGAATGAATAGGAAGTGATAAAGCACTTCCTGTTCATTCATAACTGGGGACGCATAGTACTATGTGTCCCCAGTTATTTACAAACACTAGAACACTGCACAGAGGACCGGTACATATCACTGATATGTACCGATCCTCTGCCGCCCGGCCACGCACAGAGAAGGGCTCAGCCTGCAGCGTTTCCGATGGATACCCGCTGCTCTCCCGGGCAGAGGCAGCAGGAATCCGAGGAGAAGTGAAGGAAGCGTTGAAGGGGGCGGAGGAGGGAGCAGCTGTTACAACAGCATGGCCGAGCTGTGAGGAGAGAGAAAGCCGCTTTTCCTCACTGCTTGGCCATGCTGCTGTGACAGCGGCTCCTCCCCCCACCTGCCGGCTGCAACGCTTCACCTCTGCTCAGATCCCGCTGCATATAGATGGGGGTGAGCAGCGGGGATCACGTGGAGAAGCCCCACTTCTCCCTGCTGGCTGCGCCCCCCACCCCAAACACACACCTACGCCCAAGGCGAGAGCCTCGGCCTCTCTACCTCTCGGCCTCTCTACGGCCCTGCTTTGAACACAGGCACGTCCCCTCCTGACAGAGTGAAGTTCTAGCATTTCACCTCATGCATACACATGTGGAACTCTGTGGTATCTCTGTGTGTTTGTCAAGCAAGCAGCCTACTATTTCTATTTGATAACAACTATAGCACCCTTATGTACTTCATTTCTGCTTCTTTTCTAAATAGATACTGTCATCTTGTCCTATCAAGGCAAAGTGACAGTGTCTGCTTATACAGTAGCTATCCCCTCCAGCAAGGTATACCCCTAATCCTTGTTCCTTCACTACCTCCCATACTGTCCTGTGCACACATCCATGCCAGTTTGCACTATTTTACTTAGAGTTACACAGTAGTTAAAATGTATCTAAACCTGGGAACGAAAGTGTATATTGCAGCTTACTAGCCTTTAGATGTGGTGGCTGCATTTGTTTTCTTTTTCAGGCTTAATTTCTCTTATTTTCACATGGTGAACCTGCCAGTTACAAACTTCAGGTCCGATTTATATCTCTTCCTCCCAACTAATTGTTGGGCTGATGCCATTTGCACAGCATCCCTGCCACCAGATGGTGCCAAGGAGCATAGGAAATTCCTCAGGTCTGTCTAGTGGAAGGAATGCTGTGTGAACGGCATTTACCCAGCGTATAGCTGTGTGGAAGATTTATAAATTGCCCCTTCTTATCCTACGACAATGCTCACTCACTATACTGTTTGTATGAAAGAGCAGCATCGTCACCCCAGGAAGGAAGCATTTTAGGACTACTAAACACCTCTCAATTTTTACCTCAAACACTGGGGGAATGATCTGTAGTCCACAGTAAGAGCTGGAGACAATGATAACTGATTACAGTACTGCATAGGCAGAAAACACTGGGAGTTAAGCGCTCACAAGATTTCTGGCAGGATTAACCGGTATTTTTTACACTTATCAAGCAGATATAACTAAATACTTTAAAGCAATACTTTAAACTCAACCTGTGTAACCTCAGGATCTACATTTGTCCTCGGGTATTAAGTCGCGGCCCAAGTCGCACTGCAATGGAAAGCACGGCATTTTGATACTGCGCATTCCGGTGTGGACAACTGAACTGTGGGCATTAGGTCTGTTTGGGGTGCTATTCAAATAAATGGCAATGCAATGCACCTGCCACACCAGAACGTGTAGTAGGTGCGATTGCGTGGTACAGTGCGATAATCACATGGGGCTGTTCGATTAACGCATTGCACTAGTGTGAACGGGCCTTCAAAAACACTAACAGACATACATAACCACAGACACCACCTCACACACTCACAGAAATTCTCAACCACACATGCACACTCCAAATAAAAAATTACATTTTTATTACTTTTTTGTAAGATCCACCAAGCCTGCCTACCTTACGAGAACTTGAGTGGATCCTCAGCCTTGCGGTCCAATGTGGGCTGCTGTGCTATGACTGAGCTCCATCCATATGTGCTTTGCTTGTACAACTCCCTTGTGCGCCCTGTAGAGGTTCCGGGAGCCAGAATGTGATGTCATTCCAGTCTAGGCACCTCTACAGGACATATGAGGGAGCTGTAAGCAATACAGGTATGGATGGAGCTCCCTCACGGCCATAGCCCCAGCCCACCCCACTCGGCATCAGGCGGCATATTTTAAATGGCTGCTTGGTGTGAGAACCGACAATGCTGCGTTAGGGGGAGGCTGAGGAGCCTCTCCCCTACAAAAGTGGAAGGCACGTGGTGACCCACTGCAACCCACTTTTGGGTCACGGCCCACCAGTTGAGAACCAAGGCTTTAAAATGTATACTTAACACACCAAAAGAGAAAAAAATAAGTACATTGTTAAGGTTTACATACTCTTTAAAAAACTGTCCTCAACTTCTAAAATACTAAAGGATTAGAACCATAAACACATTATATTGTTAAATTAATTACATGCGAGGTGTGGGAAGATGTGTATGGCCCTTACACATCTCCACGTCTGGCTCTTCGCAAACTTGGATGCCCTGGCCAGAAAGAGGGCAGCAGGCACACTACAAACATTGTGCAGCAGGGTTTGCAATGCCGATGTGACTGCCGCCCCCCCCTTACGTGACCCAAAGAGATGCCGCCTGAGGCAATAGCCTCAGGCTGCCTCATTATAGGTACTTGATGCTCCACACAATAAAACAAAGAAATCTGCAAAGTACAGTGCACTCTTATTCTCAAGATCCATCTCCATATTGTAATATAAATCATTCTTTTTTTGTTAGAGCGGTCCAGTTCGCCTGTTCATTCCATACAAACGTCGGAAGAAGGAGGTAGAGATGTCTGCAGTTTCAGCCAAGAATGACCCAGCAAAGAATATCAGCCTTCTGCCAGCAACAGCCGAAACCACCTGTAAGAGTCACAACATTAAAGGCATGGGCTGGGGACCAGAGTTTAATTGGAACTGAATTTGATATACAGGGTTTGGTAGATAGTGAATGATTTATATGTTGCTTGCCAGACTGACATTTGTGCGATATAGAAGCTGTTGAATATCTTGTCTCCTGTCTGTTTCAGTGCAGGCCCCTCTGTAGATACAGACATTTTGAAAGAAGAACAAAGTAGTCCAAGTTAAAAAGAAAACTTCAGTGGGAATATATACTTTCTTGGACAGTTTGCTGGAACATCATTTTGATGCGATTCTTCTATTTTACATTCTTGTTTCACATTTGCTTGACAGTAGCTGTCCCATGTCAGACAATGCAGTCTAAAAAGCTGCTGCAAGATAATCAGTTGCAGGATACATCACTGGGAATTATGTTCTCCAAACGGTGCACACTCTGAGCTGAAAGGTTTTTAGTCCGTGGCATACCAGCTGTCAACATTACTTGGTGTCACACGGTTCCCCCATCTCTCTGAAGAGTGTGGTTGGAGGAATCTTCCCTGCCAACTACTGTAATTTGACATAGGCACCAGTGGCTGTCAGAATACCCAAACCATGGATTGAGCTGATTGGCTGTTGTCATGGTTTAGCCAACAATTTTCCATCCTGCATCTTCAACAAAGTCAAGCTGGGTGCTGCTGGCACCACTCAGTAGGAAACGGACAACATTTGAACCGTGTATGAGCATCTTTACCACCACTTACAGGCGGGGAAGGGGGTGCAGTTCACAAAAAGGTTGTTGCACAGGTCAACGCTGCCCAGGGATAATTGTGAAGTTCTGTGAGGCTCGGCTCAGATATGGGCAATCCTAGGACGCGCGTCCCGGGACCGCGCAATCACGCACAATTACACACATCGGTTTCCACGCAGCCCCATTGATTTCAATGGGATTATATCCGCGTGGTAATCGCTAAAAAAAAGGCTTTTTTTAGCCACAATCGTGTTCATTTGCATGGGCGGTATCGTGGCGGGAAACCGCATGGTCTGCCCAGCGCGACTGTGGTGCCATTAGAAATGAATGGCGCCGCCAGCACGATCGGCGGTGGTGGGCGATTCTGTGACCGCACGGCCATACGTGCGGTTTCATGCACGATTGCCACGCGGTCACGGATCGCCATAGTGTGAAACTAGCCTGAGGTGTCTTTTGACAGGGAATTGATCCAACTGAGGTGCAAATACAATACCAGTTCATAAGCAATACCGGCTTAAATAGCTGCATAGAAAAAATATTGAGAGTGTATCTGAGTGTCGGGATGTATAGTCTTATACAATTGTGTAACAGTATTGCTCTGATGTGATTACAATTTTACATTCGAAAGCATCTGAGGTAGCACAGCTTGTAAAACTGTTAAGGAAGAACGTGTTCCTGAATTCTCACTGTGAATAGCAAGAACTGCAGTCTGTTATGTATGTAATTAGAGTAGATGTAAGTCCTAACTGAATGACATTTAGTATGCGAAATCACGGGGAGACATAAACAATTGCTGTCTTATATTTAAAGGAGAACTATGGGGGTCGGGGCTTTTCCCCATAGTTCTCCTTAGGGTAACGGGAGGATACAAACTAGGGTCCTCCCGTGACCTTAAGCTCAGTATACCGCGAACTACAGCTCGCGGTATACTGAGACGATGTGGAGATCTGCCCAGCTGCGTGAGTGACAGTTGGCTCTGCCTATCTAGAGGCAGAGCCAGCTGTACCCGCCCCCTCCCCCGTCCGTTCCGCCAGTCAGCGCTGGCAGAACGGAGCGGGGAGGGGGGAATCCATCCCCTCCCCTGTCACGGCAGAGAGCCGTGACAGGATCGAGAGGTGAGCGAACGCCGGCATGTGTTCGCTCACCTCCTGATCTACTGAGCCGACCTGTGACAGTCTCATTGTCACAGGTCGGCTAGAACTATGAGGTGAGTGAAAAGCACTCACCTCATAGTTTTGCTTTAAAGGCAAATTCAACGGTTTCAAACATTTTTTTCAATGCACTCGTATAAAAAGAAAAAAAGGTGCATTTATTGATTTCTTTGCATTGAAGCTTGCAACGCATTGCAACTGCGATGAGTAGAAAAGCCCAGGCTCCTGCAGACTATCCTCCCAGCTCTGAGTGGTACAGTCCTTTCTCTATGGGGCTGGAGGAAACAGTTAATGGACTACAGTGTGGTGACACAGCAATTGTACTCCAATTAGATTTACGAGTCCCTCTGCCGCAGTGGGACTTGTGGTATCTTCCTTCACAGATCCCTGTGACTGGATCTGTGAATGAATGGTGCATCCATGCTGAATTAAAAAATATACAAGATGCTGCGGGTAAAATAACCCCTCAATTCAGGTAAGTGGGGGGCTGGGGAACATGACCATGTTTCAGGTTACACCCTAAACTTGAAATATGATCACAAATCTGGACTTAGCCTTTCAATAAAATATTATTTTACCTTTTTGTTTCATCTTCTGTAGCCTATTGGCTTTGGTGATCTCAGAGGCGTATTAACAACAAATTGTGCCTCTGGACCTCATTGATTGCCAGGAGCTGGGTGGGACGCCAGCCAGCGCATCCCAGGTTGCTAACGGCTAGGTGGGGAGATGTGTAAGGGCCATACACATCTCCCTGCCCATTTCTTGGCAACCTGGGATGCTCTGGTTGGCATCCTGCCCGCATATACATTTTCCTGCCTGCTCTGGTTGCTAAGACATCACTGGTTACCAGGAGCTGGCTAGAACGTCCCCCTGGTTGCAAAGAGCAGGGTGGGGAGTTGTGTATGGGAGAGTGGTGGGGAGAGAAAAGAGTCAGCTGTCTTCATGGGTTGGCAAACTTTTGCTGACTCTCGGAGCAGCACCCCCTCCTTCATGTGGCGCCCAGGGTATGTGCCATACCCTGGATACACCACTGGGTGATCTACTGCAGCCACTTCCTGTCTACATGCATGCTGTCCAGCTTCAGCTGTTCATAATTTCTGAAGGCCACTTCCTGATAGTGACAATAGTGGGCTATGTCTGTGCAGTGCGAATGTGTGTAGTCTTATAGGGTGACATCACTCTGTGCCTGTTTCCCAGTTGTACTCCTGCGTTGTCACTTAGTCACATGCTTGACAGAGGAGGGCACAGAGTGTTGTCACAGCATAACAGGAAGTCCCTGCTGCAGTACCTCCATGGCAGGATCACCAGGTATTATTGTAGTGAAAGCTGCAGATTGACAAATATTGAAAATTACTTTTGAAATACCATTTACATGTTAAAGCTTGGAAGGAGCATGGCAACCTTCATATGTTGATGTTGAGCAGTGTGGCTGCACCTTTACATAATTTCTAATGAAAGTATTATGTTGATCTCCCCACTGCAGTCACTGTGTCCTCGTCTGGACAGATCACAGCTACAGATTCGCTGACCTTTGAGAGAGAGGCCACTGCAGAAGGAACCGCTATCCTCACCGATAGCCCTACGCAGGGAGATGTGTACACTGGAGCCACAGGTGAGGTGCAATTTTGAGTAAACCTGTCTGGTGCAATAGCGCCTGACCTATTATACTATGTCCTGCCATGTGTAGTAAAACATGTTGCACTATACTTACCTGCCACAAGTGAAGAAACAGCTCTTCTCGATGTATTGCAAGGATTTAGAAATATTATACCCCTTTCCAGTGGACTGCTGGATTTTTTCTTTTTTTAATGAAAGCCAAATAGAAATTTCTGTAGAGAGGATGTCAATTTTGTATTTAAAACTACGTGTTCCATGATCCTGTAGTCCTCTCAGACAATTAAGGGAAGCTAATTGATAATGCCGCATGACGATAAGCCTATTAAAGCCTATGTGAAGTATATATATTAGTGCACATATATACACATCCACTCTGTCGGCTCTAAAATGGAACTGCATTTAAAAAAAAATCTTAGTACCTGAAAAATAAACTTTATTTAGCAGTCATACACTCAGGGCCAGATTTACTCTCTCTGCTGCCCCAAGGCCAGGTTCCTCAATGCGCCCCCCAAGCCGACAACACCCCCTTCCCCATGGAGAATGGCAGACCTGCAGGCTGCATACAAGTGATCTTCCCCGCTGTACATTTAGCTCTGCTTGCCCAAAGCAGGGCTAAATGTAGAAAACAAGTACCCGCCCGGCGCCCGGAACTGCATACACCGGGCATCGGGAGATAGGAATTCCACACCCCTGCTGCCCCTCTACTCCCTGCTGCCCCAAGGCCGGGCCTTGTGGGAAATCCGGCCCTAACCCCCCAAAAAGTCACACACTCTAATATTTTGTTGGACCGCCTTTAGCTTTGATTGCAGCACACATCACTGTGGCATCGTTTGGATAAGCTTATGCAATTTCACAACATTTATTTCCATGCATTCATTTTTCACCAAGATTTGTAGCGACGATGGGAGAGTCAGTCTTCTCCAGCACATCCCAACTAACTACACTAAAGGTGTCCATACACCTTGCGATCAGGCGATTTTCGTACGGCGGCCCCATCCTGCCCCGATTATCGCAAGGTTCAATCAGCTGTAGTAAAAAAAAAACACCTGGACGAATTGCGGTAATCGACCACACGTACTTTCGTTTGCGCATGAGCAGTGTTAATCGTACTAATTTTGACGTAGGGAAATGCCACCAGCCTTGGTTAGCGTGGTCACCAGAAGCCCTGAAACGTGAAGGGGATTGGCAGCATTATACATGTTCTGAAAGTAAGGAGAATGCAAAATGTAATTTTCATTATTTGGGTTTACATACACTTTACTTTTATGTTTGTCTGTCGTGATCTATTGTTTGTGGCTCCTTGGGCCATCCACTCCTGTGGGTACTATACCACCAGTTGGAAGTTTTGTGCCGGAGATGCGCCCCCCCCCCTCCCTTTGCGGGGCCATTGTGGGCCCCCTGGGGAGGTGGGAGCGTATCCTGTACAGGGGAAAGGACCCTTATATTCCTCATTCATTGATTCTGCTGTATACTAATGACTTGCATGTCGTACATTTTATGTGGCGGAAGTTCCATTGGGATCTGCATAGCCCTGGGACTGCGAGACAGATGCTCTATTTTCTGTTTGTTTTTTGTTTTATGTACCTACATGTCTTATGATTCTATCAAACTTTCTCAATAAAAAACGATTTCTGTAAAAAACATACACTTTGGCCTTACATTTCTAACGGTATGCCATAAATGAGAAGGATCTCGGGAATAAAAATGTGACGCACATAGGCACTTTTTCCTAGTTTACCCAAAATCAATGACAAAGTTTTGGCTTGACTTGGCCTTTTAATGTCATGCTGCTCTCACAGTGCAGATCATGTCAATCAGGGTAACAAACTTCCCGTCTTCTTTCCTCGCTGATGACTTAGCTGGCTAGCAGAGGCAGAGATAGGAGACAGCTTCAATGCAATTCTGCTGCAGACAGTTTCCAACAACTTATCGGTCACGTTTTAAAGATGCTATTCCAGACAAGGTATATAAGTATATTCATTGATTTAATAATATCCAGATTGTGAGTTTCAGCACGCTTCTTCCCAAAAGGTGTACATGCTTTGACGTTCTTTTTCACTTTTAATGTTTGTTGTCGCTGTTCCCTTGTTTTCTTTGTTTGCGGCCTGCTGTCTGAAATCTTCTTTCATTAAATGACATCACCCCGGCAGTACATAACCTCTGATGTGAGATCTCACTGGGCTATATATATATCCTTAATATAATGCTTGGAGCTCTGCCAACCAGAGGTGCAAATTGGCACGAGAAGTATCAGAGACTTAGCGGGATAAAGTTCTCTGCTCTGTCAACCTTAACTGCTTACCCTTGAAAATCAGTGTAACGGCTTCAAAACTTCTCTCTGTCTTCCATGTGTCCTCTTTCTGGTTTAACATTTTCTGTGCTTTTGAAATAAGAACTTTGGTCAAAACAGAAAGTTTTCAGCGGTTTCTAATGGCACTCCTGTTTAGAGCTTCTATAACATGTTAAGGATTTGGGCTGAATTGGTAAAGCTGGGAGTGGCTAATATGCAAATACAGGATTTATATAGTGCCAACAGTTTGGGCAGCGCTTTACTACATATGGGGAGACAGTACAATTACAATACAATGCCATACAAAAGGATTAGAAGGACCCTGCTCGTGAGAGCTTACAGTCTACGAGGAGGGGCAAGTGATAGAGACGCCTGATCACTTGAATTTAAAGCTCACGGCCGGCCTTGTACCGCGGGTGGGAGCGGCTCTATCTCGGGAGGAAGGGGGGGCAATTTTCATACCAAGGAAAGGAACACCATGCAGTTCCTGGGGACCTTCATTCAGTTCTATTGGCCTCAGCATAATGCAATACTGCACTTAAAAAAAAGTACCGCATGCAGCCCCGTGTAACTGGTGTGAACAGTCACTTGGCCATATGCATGTTGAGGCACCCGATATATCTTATGTACAGTTATATAAACCATTATTTTCCATTCTTTTCATTTATTTTCTATTTCCAGCTGCCATTTTTCCTTTTATTTTAGACCCTAGTTGAAAACAAGCACGTAGTCCTTGCGATAGCCACAGTTACGTCTTTCAATAATGTGCAGATGAAGATACCCAAGAGCCCTCAGAGGGTATCTCACTTCTAGGAAGAGCAGTGAGCAGATTATACAGGCAGCAAATGACATAGACGTACATATCACATACCATATACAGTGTAGAGAACACCTCCAGGTTGCTATTTGAAGCAACATTTGAATATTTTGACAGATTTCTAAATCACAACTCCAGTTTGATACTTAAAGGTCCTTTTTTTTTTTAAACGGCATTTAATTACAATGTAGCTTGTGTGTATTATATGTTTATTTTTAACAAAGGTAGGTTTTTCTATAAGCTCATTGCTCTCTTGTTTTCTTGCAGTGTTGTCCTCTCTCCCAGCACTCGCTCTTGCTCCCAGTACTCCCACTAAGGAGTCCTCTGCTGCTGTGGTGAATGGATTGGAGGTATCCGAGCAGCAGAGGTCCTGGCTGTATCTGGAAGAAATGGTGAATTCTTTGCTCAGCACTGCACAGCAGCTGAAGAATTATGTGGAACAGGCCAAGAATGAGGTAGCAGCTGCCTCCGAGAGGAAGGAGGTAAGAGTGAAATGCACAACCTGCTAATCTCAATATTTCATTTTCCATTGGACACGGTTATATGTACTCATTAATGTGGTGGTTCACGTTAGAAGGCCTTAGCCCTCGTTCACACCTGAACGTTTTGTAGCGCGTTCTACGCTCCACGAACGCTCTACAAAACGCTCAAAAATATAAATCCCATTGTATTCAATGGTCTCGTTCCCACCTTGGCGTATTTCCGCTCGTCCCTAACGCGCTACAAAACGGACCACGCCTGAAAAGGTACATGTACTACTTTGGGCCGTTTTGTTGCGCGTTTCTATTGGGATACAGCCAAGTAGCCTTCGGAAACGCGCGTTTGTCGCGCAACTTTTTTACCGCAAAGCGCGGTAAAAAAAAACGCACGACAGACGCGCATATACAATACGCCTAGGTGTGAACGAGACCTTAGAAGTTTGTGTTTTTAAAGCTGAATTTGGGGCAAAAGAACCTTTTATTTAAATATATTTTCTCAATAGCCATAAATGCTATAAATCCATTTGATGTGCACCAAATGCATCTGCAAGCCCCAATATTACCTTGTAAATGTAGCAGTGACACATAGCCTGTGCAGAGCCGTAAGAGGGGCCCAGCAGCCTCCATCTACTACAGACTACCTGCAGAAAACTACAGGAGGGGGCGGAGACAAGACCAGTCACCCTGCACAGGGAGAGAGAGCACCAGTGGCCGGTCTTTATTATAGAAAACATCTGCACAGAGGAAAAGTTTCATTCTGGATTACTGCACAGATCTGGATGCCAAGATTCAAGTAAGACAGTGTTCAATTATAGTTTATTTATAGACACATAGACAATGAATGTTTATAGTACATGCCTCTTATATTTACACAATATTTGCTTATCCTGGAGTTCAGTTTTTTTCCTTATTTATTTAGAAGGAAGCGCCGGGTGCTGAACCACTGCTGCCAATAGTTGTTCCAGTGGGGGTTAAGGCTCTGGTCTGGAGAATGAAAGTTTATTTCCACTGTTATAGCCATATTGGGATAGCACCTATTTTATATTTTGTTACATGTTCTGGATCACAGCATATACTGTATATGTTCTTGAGGCAGCCCACTTTAAAATGTCAAAAACGTAAATGTAAACAATGACTGGCCCCTCTAAAATCTACACTTATCCAGGATTTTAATGGGGCACCTATGGAAAAACACAAAAATAGTGAGGTTCTCCCACAAATCAGGAAGCCCTCCTTTCACATCACCACATTCACATCAAAGTCTCCCTCTATATCAGGAGAATCCTCCCCTCTCACACTAGGAGCCCCCTTCACATCAGGAGCCCTATTTCCATATCAGAGACCCTCCCATTCATATCAAGAGTCCCCCCTTCATATCAGTAACCCCCCTTCACATTGGAGTAATCAGTCCCCCCCTTCAGTTCTACCAATACATTAGGAGCTGCAGCTGTGGCAGCTTCGAAGATCCCATCCTCCCTGCATTAGCGTAATTAATTTCCATGGTGCTGGAGGCCAGCCCTCCAGAACCATGGCTTGATGCTGTGCGAAAATATCAAGGCAGTCCTGAAGAATTTAGAAGGCACCCTGGTTGAGAAAAGCTGCTCTGAGGCTCATCTTATGAGGTCATGATCCACTGTTGTTCAACCACTTGCCAACCAAGGTATGTTTTGACATGCCGAAAAGGTGGACATTTATATCTGCACTGCCGTTTATAAATGGCAGATCAGAAATAACTATCAGGCAGCCAGGGAGCTTGTTAGTGCTGGTGAACCAAGCCATCCTCGGTCAGCTTGATTCATAGAGACTGTACAGAGCTGATCCAAGTGACTCTTTACTTTGGGATCTCTCTATGGCCAGTGACCACGGATACAATGTTGATGGGAAAATAAAAACAGTTTTGGTGGACCCGATTACATCCGACGCACCATAGACCAGGGGTGGGCAACTCCAGCCCTCCGGCTGTTGTGGAACTACAAGTCCCATTGCAAGACTGACCGTTACATGCATGACTCCCAGAGGCAGAGGCATGTTGGGATTTGTAGTTAAAGCACAGCTGGAGGACCTGAGTTGCCCACCCCTGCCACAGACCAACATGTGTCTGTACAGCTCAGTTTTTTTCCTCCATCGCAAGGAGGTGGAGAAAACTAAATGGACACGGATGTTCCATACTGCTCCGATCAGCAGGGAATCTGTGCATGGATCCTCTGCTGATCGGACTGGAAGGGGTCTAAAACTGATAAGAAAATCTAGTCAAAATACATGAGGCTTGTGCACATTTACTTGAATCTTGGCGTGCTTTATGTATTCTTCCGAATCTGTACATGTGAAACCTTGCCTCTGTATAGGAGCTTCCTGTAATAAAGACCGGTCACTGCTGCTCTCTCTCTATGTGCAGGGTGACTGGTCTTGTATCTGCCCCCTCCTGTAGTTCTGTAGAGGCAGCCTGTAACGGGAGGATCTGCACCTGTTGGGCCCATCCCGCAGCTTTGCTGCCTGTGTTCTATCAAAGTTTGTGACTGCATTAGAATGTGTGACCGGTGACGTGGTCACACATTTTAACCTAATCCCGGCCAGTTTTTCGACGGTGGAATGTGCGACCGGTCACACATTTTAACGTAATCACGTCCACTTTATGTGACCGGTAAAAGTTGAAGAATTCCAACGCTTTCTCAGCTGTTCCAGGGCAGATCGGCATCGAAAAATCATATGTGCAGGAGAACCGATTTGACCTGGAACAGCTGATCGGTCCTGAAATGTCACTTCTATCTGACCTTTGTGAGTGCGATCTCATATTCCACAAAGTCGGATAGAAGTGACATTTCAGGACAGATCAGCTGTTCCAGGGCAGATCGGTTCTCCTGCCCATACCATCTGCGATGCCGATCTGCCCTGAAATAGCTGAGAAAGTGTCGGAATTCTTCACCTTTTGCCGGTCACATATTTCACCGCTGAAAAACTGGGCGTGATTGCGTTAAAACGTGTGACCGGTCACACATTCCAACCCAGTCACAATCTTTGATAGAACACCTGCACAGACTTTGTGCAACACAGTTATGATGTTACTGCTACTTTTAAAAGCTAATAACTGTGTTTACAAAGGCATTTTAGTGCACATCTGCAGCTTCTAAGAAATATATTTAATTGATTTTTTTTGTGCCAGGAGTTCAGCTATAAGCTGTAAGCTCTTAAGCCTAGAGTGATTGCACCAAACTATTTGTGCAGCAGTAACATTTGCATTTACAAAATTGAGGGATGAGACATTGGTTTGTTTTTATTTTTGTTTAACCAAACTGACTTTTTATTTTATTTAACACTTTTCTTGTTACTTATTGTTTGCTTTGTTTTTAATTTTTACCACTTTTTCCTACTTGGTGGATAAAATAAATGGAATGTCAAAAAGCATTCAATCTGAGTAATACAATCTCTGGTCATTTTTAAGAACCTGTAAAAAAACAAATGTGAAGTGAAACATAAACAGAAGCTGTGCCCTGACCCGGCCATTGTGAGTTAAGAGACTGACAATATATTATTTATTTTTCCTGTACATAAGGGTCAGAGGTTATAACCCTGGTTCCAGAGCAGCTCTCACCGCAGCAATACCCTCCCACCCCTCTGCATGCCCATGACACAGGTCAGCGAGATGATCTGTAATTAAATCTGTAATCCTCTTATGGGACAGACAGGTCCCATTGCGACTGAGACCTGTTTTAAATCCTCGGTGTCTGAAGAGATTGTTTCCCGTGCTCTGGCATATTCCAGAACCTGAGTTTTCTCTCTTTATGATTGTCAGCTGTCCTGTGTTGTTATTTTCACCGGCTTAAACACCTTAAGGTGTTCACGCATATATCAATTTGATCACTTTGACAAACCAATAATATCCATAATAATCTGTTTGTTGTCATTTATGATCACTAGTTCTAACTGATTTTCTTCACAATGAAGGGCTCATACAGATAAACGTGCACATCCGTACAGCGCGCATGCCCATGCAGAGACCCAATCCTGGGAGAGACAGGTAATGCGTGCAGCAGCCTGTACTTTTTGACGATGCGGCTGCACGTGGTTACGCAGACCCAAACCTGCAAATCTATGCAGGTCTGGGTGCTCACTAAGTCAATGTTTGGGCACCCAGACCCACATGAATGGGTAGGTACGAGTCTTCGTTTAACTGTGCGCAGCTGCATCCTCCCATTGGGTGGTACAGGCTGCTGCACACAATTACACACTTGATTGTGTTCAACCCAGGGGCCTCAATTCCAATCTTTCATTAACTTGTTTTCTGGATGGCAGGTAACTTTGCCATGGTGTTCACACTAATTTTAGCCCAAGGGTAATTTTTTAGTTTAATTTTCATGGATAGGTTCCTTAGCCTACCATGGGTAGGTTCTACAGTGGGCCGTGTAATGCAACGGCAGCTCTGGTCCTCATTTTAGTCATCTTATTCCTTCCCTGCCCTTTCTTCCCCCTTCCTTTTCCCTAAGCTTACAACATATGAGCTCAGACTGAATATTTCCGGTTACACACAATACGTGTCCCTTCCGGGGTTTTGTCTTTCCACTGGCATGCACGCTGTACAGACGTAAAGGGAATATTTGAAGAAGTTGAAGTTTTCTTTGGGGTTGTAAACTACCCTCCCACATTGACAACTCTGCTGTCCAATGGTGGCTTTTCTATAGAGCCGCGACACCCTAGGACAGGAAGTGTGTTACTGGCCGGGTCACCAGGCGAAACTAAAGGAAAGAAGATAAATACACCCACCACATTTAAGGAATGTAAACTGCAATGTTTTACATTTTTGTTTGTGGGTTTCAATATGCTTTAATGATAAAAGATTTTCTGTAGGGCTGTGGCTAACACGCTTTTACCATTTAACCTTATTCATTATATTAACATTTCTTTCCACACACAGTTCCCAAGTCATTTGTTTCAGCAAACAGAAGAAATGGATGGAAAGCATGAGATATTACTTAGGGTAAGACCTATATTTCAGTTTCCTTCTCACCGCTCTGTTCTTCCTCCGCTGTCTCCTAGAGAATGACACGTTCTGTGAAAAAAATTACATTGTGACATTATATTCTCCAGCAGGACCCTCTGGACTCCGCACAGTGACGTCTGCCTGTTCTATATATGCAAAAATTGTATTTCCGCAGAAAAATGACACGCTAAAACACACGTTTTTGAATTTTAATGAAGAATACTATCTTTAGAATGCGCCTGTCCTATATATATAATATACATTCACACAGGAAAACACTTGAAGTGTGACAGCTTTATGAATGTATCATCACAGAGAGTCACACCTCCCTCCTCTCTCACTCTTCATCTCATTACCTCTCGCTATTTTGAGGAATTTTTACTTCCCCATCTTCACACTCTCTCCTCCACCCTTGGCCTTCTGCCTGCTGGATTTATTTTATTCATTAATGTTGTTTCATACATTGGTTGTCTCATTTGCTTTTGCTTACTTTCTAATTATGCTTTTCTAATTGCTAGCGCAAGTGCTATACTTGCATACCTCACCCCGATTTAATTTACCCGTGTGAATCTTCGCCTTACCTTTTAGACGTCTTCTTATTGATGAATGTATACAAGTCTGTGATGTATTATTATTGAAGTATTTTATCATGTCAGCATACACTGAGTGGCCAGATTATTATGACCACCCCATCAGTAGTTCGTTGGGCCACGAGATGACTCCACGAGATGACTACGTTGGGAATTACCACTGACTCTGGGAACAGAGGTGGGAATGTTTTTGGTATGAGGGCTACTGTGTGCTAAACATTTTAGGTTTTGTAGTGACGTAGATCAAGGGAAAAGAGAATTACAGGTGACAAATCTGACATCACCTTCTTACTGGATGAAAACTGTGCTAGCCACAACTATCTCTATCCTAACATACCAGAACTGCCAAGCCAACCATTAAACAAGATAGAGAAGGAGCAGGAATGGATGTGAGTGCGAGCAAAGCATTGGAGGATAGAGAGAAATAGTAGATGAGGGACTGAAGATTCTTAACTGATTGGGAGAAAAGAACCATGGATATCTGATAGAAGCCAGGGCAGAGAGAAGAAATATCAGTGCAAGAGACCTGGCGCAGAAAGGGAGAACATTGGTGTAGAACTAATAGCACACATATAGCTGGCAACCAGTGGTGCCAGCTATAGCAGAGTAGAAATCGAGAACTTGGTGTCTGATGGGGATCAAAGATGATTAGAGGGGAAAGGTTAAAGCATTTTGGAAGTATCAGTGGAGGTTAACATGGGGAATTGCACGATAACAGGTGTGAGGTGTAAGAAGGTTGGGGAGGAAGAAGTCCAGTAAGTGAAACTAAAAGCCAAAGCTCTACAGTCTGCTTTCATTATAAAGGGAATTGGCTTTGCTATTGGAAATGGTAGTTTGTTTTTATTAGATTTGATGTATTAGAGGGAAGACAAATCGCCAACCATTAGCTTTACAGATGTTGCTAAAGTATGCAGAAAACAATCAGAACAAAATCACCCACCTAATAGAATGGTTTTAGAATCTATGAGACTATGAAACATAATGCCCACAGTTGTTTGGCGAGGTGGTGCTTGTATTCCGTTGAAGTAGGCAGTAGATATGATGGTTTATGGCACCCATATAAAGTTGTATCCGTGGCATTCTAACACGGTTTTGGCTTTCTTTATATTTAGCAGTCCTGTGTTAACTGTGGAAGAGAAGCCCTTAATGAATGTACAGGCTGCCACAAAGTCAATTACTGCTCCATCTTCTGCCAGCGCAAGGTAAGATTAATCTCACATACATCTATCTATGAGCCTAGTTGCTGCATATGGTATGCATTTCACTATAAATAATGATCACGGAAAGTCTAATTGGGCTTATTCAGTGATGCAGTGCAAGGAGCACTGTTGATTTAAAGTGTAGAAACACCTAGAAAGACAGGAGGGAGGCTCAGGTTCCTTAATTTCCGTGCGGCCGCAAATCTAAAACTGTGCAAAGTCGCACGGAACCTAAGGACATCTGCAATCCTCTCCTCTGCCATATGGGAGGGCAGCATTATCTCCTGCCTAAGTTCAGCTTGAGGAGAAGCAGCGGTGTGGGCTCTCCACTGCTGGTACTGGTAGGATTGCCGACAGGTAAACAGGGGGTCCAGCTGAGAAGTACTGCAGCCTCTGTTCTCCTGACATCCACTGAGCTGCAGGAGTCATTACCACTGCCCGGGGCTCATTCATATGGTAATTGCTGGATTTGCATATTGATGAGCCACTGTAGTTTATTCATATGCAAATTCCACCATGCCTAATTAATATGCAAATCGCCCCTTCCCACTCCAAGGAAACTGAATGAGGGGGGTGGGCAGGGGGGAGTCAGGTCCTAGAGTTGTAGAGTAGCGAAAGCAAGGTTAGGGCTTGTTCACACCATATACAGTGTGTTCCAGTGCGGCTAGCTGCTGGAACGCACTGTATGGCATAGTAAACTCCCCCATGTGTTCTGGGGCGGGAGGAGGCATGGTGGTGCGTTGAAGTCAATGGCACCGCAGCCACACACCCCCGCGTGGCACATAAGAGCCTGTGTTGCCGTCCAGTGCTATTGGAAAAAATACTGCATGCACTAGATGCTGCATGCACCAGAATGCAGAGGGGAGTTTACTATGTGTTACATTGCATTGCAGCAGCTAACCACGCTAGAACACACTGTATATGGTGTGAACAAGCGCTTAGAACTGGCCAGAGGAAGAGAGGTAAGATGCTGTGCACCCACACTGCCCACTCACTCTGTGCAGCCACCCACACTGCCACCCACTCTGTACACCCACCCACACTGCCACCCACTCTGTACACCCACCCACATTGCCATCCACTCTGTACACCCACCCACACTGCCACCCACTCTGTACACCCACCCACACTGCCACCCACTCTGTACACCCACCCACTCTGTAAACCCACCCACATCGCCCACCCACTTTGTGTATTCAACCAGAGTGCCCACCCATTCTGTGCACCCACACCTCCTATCCACTCTGTACCCACCCACTCTTCATCCACCCTGCTCACACTGTGCACCCACTTTGTAACGCCACTTTTCCCAGCTTCACTGGTGTAACTGTTATTTTAATTTATATTTACATTGCCACACCAAATAAATTAGGGAAAATGGGTTATATTGCCCTGTGTAATCCTTCTGTGGTAAGGCAGTGTATAACTTAAAAAAACACTGCCACGCCAGTGAAGCTGGGGAAAGTGGGCTTACAAATGATAAACCCCAGTGTTATTTTAAGTTCTAATTATAACCCCCCTTCTGTAATTGCAAATCCCATTTTCCCAATTTTCATTTGCTTTATTGGTGGCTCTGTGAAAGAATTAGGCCTCGTTACACAGGACGTTCTGGCATTCCTGCAGCGGAAACATATGACTTCTTGCGACACGAATGTCAGGTGTCCCACTTATTGCATTTCATTGTATTATATAATAATGATAATATATACTGTAGTTCAAGCACCAGAGGGGGGTGCTAGACTGATCCCCACAGCCTCTCCACCCTGGGCTCCAGTGGTCTAACCCCTGCTGACTTCATTACATTTAATGCAGGTCCATTTGCCTGCATTATACTTGAGGACGCTGTGGAACATTCCATAGCCAGAGCAGATTACCTAAGGATCAGATGAGTATATTTTCTGTATTCTGAGCCCTAGACCAAAATAAGCAGTTAACTCGTACAGTGTGGGGGTAGCCCTCACTGCAAGGGTTAATCTTTTCAATAATTGGAGTTCCTCTTTTATATTACCTACGTTTTTATAAATATTTAATAAAGCTGTCCTGATTTACAATGGAAATGTTTAAATGGTGTCCTTCAGTCACTTTGGTTTAACCTTTAAAAGCTTGAGAATAGGACAGTGGATGTGTTACACATAGCAACCACTTGCTTTTTACTTTTTAACTTTTTATCCATAAATCATCCACACTTTTCAAAGTGTCTGAAAGAAGGTCAGTGTATAGCTGCATCTTACACGTAAATGGGAGGATCTTAGATGTTGATTTATTAAAGGCAAATAGGCTGTTCACATTGCAAGGGAGTTTTCCCTTAGCTTAGTGAATGTGGTGAAAATCCACTTTACAAAGAATACCCAATCATGAGCAATGAAGAAAAGAAAAAACAATATGTTTGGTTGCACATGATCGGATGATGGAAGTCAGCAGAGCTTCACCTCATTCACTTAACCAAGTAAAAATTCCCTTGGTGAACAGCCTATTTCCCTTTAGTAAATCAACCGCAGAGTGTCTGCTATTAGCCTCACAACCAGCTCTTCTTTCAAAAGCTTTGAAAAAAAATGTATGCTTTGCTTGGGGAGCTCCAAACTTTGGACCTTGGCATCTGTCAGTGTTTTCTGTTTTCTATAGGATTGGAAGGATCACCAACATCTTTGTGGCCAGACCGCCACCTTGTCTGTCCATGCTGAGGACGTTCATGTCACGGAGAAGGATCCCGTCTGATTGTCATCAAGCACTACGTCCTACTAAGCTGTATGAAATCCTGCAGAGCAGACACTGATATGAAGGTCCAGACATCGGCTCTATTACTATTGTGTAAGACCAGGAGTGGATTTTTGACCATAGCAGGATGAATTATACCAAGTGGATGTCTTTTGAAAATGTTTTCATGGTACATGGAACCTAGTTTTATAGATCCTAAACATTATACTTATGCTCAAATGACATCTAATGTTTTGGTATGACGGTACCAACAGTCTAGCTGCAGTTTACAAGGCAGTACATGCAGTGCCATAGCTGAAATTAGAGAGTTTGGCATTACCTATCACTGGCTTTAAAGACCAAGGCAATCTAAATGGTTTTCTCCGGTTTTGGTGAAATATAGGTATGATTAATCTTGCTGTGTCTACATTGTTGTAGGGAGATTTCCTTTGATCTTTGGCACAGCGAAGGCAAGCTCAGAGCTGGTGTATTTTCCACAAGTTTCTATGGAGGTTCCACCAAGTGCTACAAATGTTGTGTAAATCTTGTTAGATTGCTGAATGATGTAAATGTCCCTAGGGGGCAACTGATTACTTCTGAGAGGCTGTACATAAGCATACAAGAAGTATTATTAGACATCCATTTTATGGAAAGGGGAGTGCTGCCATATCTTGGATTCACAGTGAAAATATTTATTCCCATGAGCCTTTTTTGCCTCTCTGGTAACACTGGATCACTTTGGTCAATGTGGCTATATAGAATAATAATGGTCAATCTGTTTCGCTGTAGCTGTTAAGACATTAAAAGTCTCAGCAATCCCTGACAAAGTATAATAGAAGTTATAGCAGGGCAAAAATTTGTAGGCAAGCCATGTAGGTCAGGTTTGGAGTAGGAATACCAACCTGAAGGTTGAGTGCCGATTCTAAAAGCTAGGCACCATGGACTTTTATGCAGCAATAAAAATACCTTCCTGTTATATAACACCAGGTTACACCATGGTTCCACAGTGTCCCCTTATTTAGCACTTGTCCTTTCTATGTTCAGTAGCATAGGAGTATGTGCCATGCCATGCCCCCCGACCTATACCAGCAGCCTGTTTCCAGATACCAGTACTGTAGGAGGCAAGTGATGGTAATATACTGCAAGATATATTTTGGTCTCAGGTACTTAAGCTGTGCACAGTGAGAAAACCAGGCCCACCAGTATCCAGATTTGTCCCATGATGTGACTCAGGGGCTTCTTCCCACTTACTAGTTATGGGGTAATTATTTCCCAGGAAGTAGTATATGGCATGTGAATGGGGGAATGTTTGCTGTCATGGTAATCTATTCACAAAAGCATTTTACTTTATACCAGAATTCCTTTATTATGCCCAAACGTCATTACCATACTTGAGGGGACATGCACTCAATCTAGTGAGAGGCTAAGTGAAATACTAAATCTAACCCAGTATATAGTTCCTCAGTATCTGGAGGGTGAAATGTTGTCCATGTCTGATCTAGAATGCTCTTTTCTCTTTAGCAAACATGATTTGATACAATGTTTACAATTCTATGCAGTGTTTCATTGTAAATGATGCATACGTTCTGACTGTACTTGACTTAATAAATACAGAGTATTACTTTTTATCACCTTTCTGGAATCTTCTATTGCACTTACTGCATATTAATGACTCTGACAACATTTATACATTTCTTTACTAATTATTTAAAATCTTGGAAGAAATTCCTTTATAAAATATGTTACCAAATTCATAACTTGTACTTGAACTTTGTACTTTCCTTGGTTAGATGTTCAGCATTTGATCTCCTGTTCTAAGTTTGTCATGCTTATTTTAAGAATTCTTTTATTCTATAAGAAATAACTGAATTGTTCCTTCTGCCACGTGATCTTTGACACCATCACACCAGTACAAATCTTAGCTGAAAAGAGCTTGTCCTTTGCTAGCACAAGCAGGATGATCAATGGTTTTCTCTTCACAAATATCTCACCACCTAGCAATGACCTTCACCTTCAAAGATCTCACAGCAAGTATCCACGGTTCAATGGTACTAAAGCCTATTTGTATATGCTTGCAAGCTCTGTATGTATCCAAAGGTCTAATATACATACAACAAAAACAGAGCGTACTAGCGAGTGCAGGTAAAACAACGTTAATAAACATAAATGGTAACATTTAACTTGCAATTAAGGGATGATCACGGCATATCACCAAGATCAATCCTCCAGAGGAACTCCAGGTCATGCCAACAGTTGCTAAAACTCTCTTAAGGTCTGCCGATTTTCGTATGCGATCGCATTTTCGTCCGATATTCGTAAGGTTGATGCGCAGTGTACAACCGCAAATACCGTACAATCGATCGACTTTTGACTAACCAGCAGGTTAGAAAAAATCTATTGATCGTACGATTTTCGCAAGGTTGGTGGCGTTTCCGTACGTCAAAATTCGTACGATTTACACTGCACATGCGCAGACGAAAATACGTGCGGTCAATTACCGAAATTCGTCCAGGAGCTTTCATTTAATTACTGCTGATTCAACCCTGCCATAATCGGGGCAGGATGGGGCCGCCGTACAAAAATCGTACAACAGTTCGATCATCGTACGAAAAGTGTCGTCCGATAATCGTAGGGCAGCTTTACTCAGTTGCTGGCCATTGGAGAGGGTGCAAACTGGATAGATAGTATAAGGTAGACACCGGAAGAACCAAATGGCAGGTGCATTAAAAAACACATCCCTAGCTGGTAGGGACCAAGAATGTATGCTAGATCCTGGTGATAATTGTACTTCCTCTAAAACTGACATGTTTTGGGGCCATGCCTATCACCAGGATCTAGCATACATTCTCCCAACAGCTTGGGGTGTTTTTTTGTATGCACCTGCCATTCGTTCCTTATACGGTCTATCCAGTTTTACACTCTCTCCTCTTGCAAACCAACTGAGTGAGAGAATTTTAGTAACTGTTGGCATGACCTGACGTTCCACTGGTGGACTTATCTTAGCGATATGCCCTGCTCAAGTCATATCATTGTAAGTTAAATGTTATAATATATGTTTATTATCCAGTGTGCTCTGTTTTTGTTTCAGGTTTTACGTATGTTTAATCTCACATTGGACTTGTAATCAATGAATATTCTGGGGCTGATGCCGTTTGCAGTTCTTAGTTGTGAGTAATTAACTATCTTGTCTCAGCTACCTTGATTACCATAGTTTAAAAAAAATAGTAGGGAGGAGCTATCCCTACCAGGTGGTGACTTGAGAGATGTATCTTGGGTAACACCATCTTCGATTTCAGATTCTCGTATGCCTTTTTACCCCTTATGTTTCCTGCTTTATGAAGACTTGTAAATAAAGATTGCATTTATTCAAGATTTTCCCAAATGTCCACCCCAGATATTACCACACTAAGCGTGCTGGAAGAACCTGAACCATGAAGGTGAAACTTATCAACAAGATAGAGCACGACATGGTTGTTATTTCATTGATATAATTTATTAGATAAGGAGTGCTTGCAAAGTTTGGCTCCATTGTTCCCAGAAGTATGGTAAGAGAGGTCTCGTTCTCAGTATCAAGGGTGTTCTGCTCCTATCAAATAAAGGGATGTCTGTTGTGATAGAGTCTGCAGAGGTAAGTGAAGAAGTAGAGACTAGACATCAGGAACTAGAAAAAGATTTATAGGCTGTTAAAAGAAACTATCATTCTGCTGTGCTGTGTGTTTTGTGGCTCATTACAGAGAAAATGTTGTTGCTGCGGAATGTCCTGTAAAGTTTGAGGAGGGGATGATGGGACAAATCTCATACTTTTGAGAGATGTCTTCTTATTTCCTGTTGTAGCTATAAGGCAGGAAATGAAGGGAAATCCCCCCAATGGGACAGAGATGGCAAAAAAAAACTGATAGGGGTTATATAATTGTTGAACTCCCTTCCCCAAACAGTGGAGTCAGTTTAGAGTATTGACTAATTCAAGAACATTTTGATATTTCCCTTGGAAAACACAATATACAGTGGTACTCTTAGTAACTTATACACACACACACACTTTCACAAAGGTTGACCTATGTGGACCTGTGTCTTTATTCAACCTCAACAACTATGTAACCTTACCATACTCAATCCAAAACTATAAAAGGTGCTGACTACTTTAAATATTTGTTTTATTGATTTCGGTACACTTCCTGTGCAGGTAGATGGTTATACCCGGGTCATTAAGTGAGGTAGAGTCCATGAACCCATCGCACTCAAAACCGCTGTTCCATATAAAAGATGAGTGCTGTGACAATCGACGGATGGCAACCGTGTATAATCACAGAATAACATAGACACCGGCACTTCAAGGAATGAATCAATGGCGTCTGTTTATTGACGCAAGAGACTTAGCACAATCAAAAATGCTTTTTTGATGCATTGTGCTATGTCTCATGCGTCAATAAAGAGACGCCATTGATTCATTCCTTGAAGTGCCGGTGTCTATATTATTCTATGAAGTGAGGTAGATCTCTCCAGTGGAGACCCAGACAGCACCTGATGTAGGTTCTAAACCTTAGGTATTTAAAACTATTAAGGAAAAATGTTTTGGCAAGACTTCGCCTTCCTGGGTAAGCACAGAATTTATGGGGGTCCCAAAGCAGTGGTTTCATTATGGAATATATTACGGACTTATTAGTGTAGGGATCATTTTACTAGAGCTGCAGCTAACGATTATTTTCAAAATCGATTAGTTAGCCGATTATTAAGTTCGATTAATTGGTTAATCGGATAAAAAATCAGATCAAATAAATGGCTTCAGTGATGGACTACTAGTTTGTATTGAGTGTAGTCCATACGATGAACGTGAGGTGGGGAGGAGATGCGGCGTGTGGAGCGTGGATGCAGGCGGTTCTGGCAGCGGCAAACGTGAGGTGGGGAGGAGGTGCGGCGCGCAGCGTGTGTGGAGCCGTGAACACAAGCCGATTAATCGATGATTGAAAAAGTTGACAACTTTTTCAATAATCGCTTATAACCGATTATGTCGATTAGTTGTTGCAGCCCTACATTTTACCAAGAAATACACAGATATGTTTTTATATCAAATATGTGTTTATTGAACTATGCAAAATCTCCTGTCTTGCATCATGGGAAGCCATTACAGGAAGATATCTCAGCAGTACCACTTGTGTCCACTGCACGGTAAAGATGTTAGTTTAAGAATCACTCCTTATGTGATGAAAACATTAGTGCATGGTGGTTGCTGTGGACAACTATGACTGCTCCCTTCTTCTGCACAGCAGAAAGGGGTTATGCCTGTAGAGATAGTAACATCAGCACTTACGTCCACTTACGGAAAGCTCTTCATAACAAACGCTACTGGTTGATCGACATTTTTGTGTATAAAGTTTTAAACCCAGCAAGCAACCTGGAGTAGTTGATCTCATGTTGAAGTACTTGTTCCTATAAATGATTACACGGAATATAGCAGCCAAAGAGAATTACAATTACATCTGAACTTGACCATTCCTACTGTATATCTGTTTCATCTTCCAGCATTTGCAGTAAACATTCATCATTTGCAGACCAATAGCAGTTATACAGAAATAAACTGAAAACAGTAGAAGACCTGCCTCAGGGCCACTCATGCATTGTGGCCACACACTACTATGATTTGTCATGTATAATTGCTCAACTTTGAGTTGAGTTAACAGGTCAGCATTGCTATTTGGGTGAGGCCAATGCTCAGAAGAGCTGTGCTCTCAAGTTTGTAGAAGACCAGAACACATTGCCCACACTTTTGTCCAACATTCAACAGGGTCAGCAGCACATTCGAAGCACTTTACGGAAATAGTTCCTGAACTCAGTGTTGAAAATTGTGTAGATAACAGGATTCAAGGCGCTGTTGACGTATCCCAACCATGTGACAGTGCTGAAGAGAGGCTCTGGAATGTAACAAGTCTCGCACAGTGCGCGTGTAATGTGCACCACAAAAAACGGCGTCCAGCAGAAAAGAAAAGTACCTGGAAAAGAATTCGAGAAATATTTCATGAATAAAATTATATCGGAATCAGTTAAAAATAATCAAACAATTACTAAGACCAGGAGAATTAAACATAACATACAGTTATATACCATTTGTATGAAAGCCTATTTCATACTTGCCTATTCTAGATCTTATTTCCTGAGAGACATTCAACAACCATCACCAGTTGTATATTGTTCTGGTAGTGTGGAATAAAATGGTTGTCTGATAACTGCATCGATAATAATCACGTCAGCTCATCTACGATTTTTATTTTTCCCTTAAGTAATCCTATAGTTCAGTGGGGGTGCAGAACTAAAAAGCTCATAAAGAACAGTCTATACGCATTTATAGACAAATCTGCTAAAGCTTAGGCTCTTCAATTTTAGGCTCTTTCTGTGTATGGCTGGCTTCAATAGAAAAAACATGAATCACAGACCGCCCCCCTAACCCTCTTCCTACACAAAATGTATTGTCTTTTTCTTATGTTTCCATTCACATTAAAATGTTCTCATAGCCATTGTGTTTTGTATACAGTAGAGAAAGTTAAAGTATATCAAAACATTTTTTTATGTCAGGTTTTGTGCCCTCTTTATGTCATTGGGGAGATTTCTCTTCACTTCCTGTCTTGTAGACACAACAGTAAGTGATGGGAAACTTCTCCAAAGTAAAGAAAATTCCCTCTTAGTTGTCATTGGAAATTCGAACAAATGTCCCCATTGGAAGATTTCCTTTATTTCTGTTCTGGTGGTAACTCAAACGTTTAGATTTTTCCTCCCTTGACAATGATCATTAGGACAAATAGAGAAGAATCTCCCTAACTGGGACCCAGGCAGCAATAAAAACCTGACAGGTATTGTAAGTCCTCACCACATCCAATAACGTAAAACAAGCTCTGACTTCAGATACAGTACACTTTAAAATCTGTCAATTTTTATTTATTTATTTGCTTTGTCCATTTGGGGAGATCTCAGCGGAGATTCCATTGGACTGTACCATAGTTTATTCCCGAACTGAGCTTCAGTGCTGTACTATATTGATGGCTGTGAATGAAAGACCTGGACTCTGCAGTTTATCTCTATTTCTCTAGTCATCACCATGTGATACTATATACAAGAAAAAGCCAACTAAAATACATCAGAGTACAATAAAATGGGGGATCTTGGATTCTTAGTATAACAGTTGGTATCAGTACCTGAAATGATACAGCTAATAAAATTATGTGTGTGTGTCTGTGGTCCAGACAAAGGGGTACTGATGGCAATGTTGTCATTTTATTGTGGTGATTGGTTTATGATTCTTTCCTGCTAATTACTGCTATATTTAGCTATCAATAGATCAGGGATTAGTCTTTTTTAAATTATTAGGGTTCAAAGTTGACATGGGCTTGCCAAAGCAAAGACATGAAGTAAAAACAGTTACCACAGAAACCAGTGGCGGAACTAATAACCAAAGGGCCCTGGTGCAAGATTTTATCTTGGGCCCCCCTCCCAAGACGGGGGGGGGGCGCGCTCCCCCCCCCAGCGGTCTCTAATGTTGCAGTAGCGTGCTGGACTTACCTGAGACCATGCAGAGCACACCATAGATCCTGTATAGCCCACCAGACCTCTCACATGGGTACCGACTATACCCCTCTGATGGCGGTGTTCTATTAAAGGTTGTGACTACGTTAAAATGTGTGACCGGTGACGTGGTGACGTAAAGTAATCCCGCCCAGTTTTTCGGCGGTGGAATGTGTGACCACCAATAGGTGAAGTATTCCAGCGCTTTCCCAGCTGTTCCAGGGCAGATCGGCATCGCAAATCGCATGTGCAGGAGAACCGATCTGCCCTGAAACAGCTGATCGGTCCTGAAATGTCACTTCTCTCCGACTGCGATCTCACATTCCACCGCACTCACAAAGTCGGATAGAAGTGACATTTAGGCAGTGCGGGGCCCCGGTGTTCGAACACCGGGACCGTGCACTGCCATATATTGCAGTACCAGACCGCACTGAGACTGTAAGGGTGCCCAGTACCAGACCCCACTGGGCCCCCCCACAGCTTTAGGCCCCGGTGCCCCGGCGGTAGTTCCGCCACTGACAGAAACTGTTTTAGATGCTAAATAGAACTGCCAATACTCCTATATAATTGGCTGCAATGGTATGGAGCAATGGCAAGACTGATAAAGGGCGAAAACAAAGGATTTCTGTGTTCTCAGTCGATTACATGGCAGGTAACATGACCATGGCCTCCAAGGAGTGCCAATTGTTTTACAAATCTGGAAATTGACTTTGAAAGCTGGAATATGATATTCAAAGTTAGAGTAATAAAATAATGAAGTTTGTTAAGAGTACTGATACTTGTCATGTATCTTTTGATTCCAGTAAAAAAATCTCCAACCTCATCTCAAAGTATCACCCAAAGTGTCCTCTCCGCTCCTCCCCTCCTCCCAAGACCTCCTGCCCAGCTCCCTCATCACCTCCTCCCATGCTTGCTTCTAGAGCTTCTCCAGGACCTCTCCCATCCTGTGGAAATCTCTACCAGAACCTATCCAGCTATCTCTATCTCTGTCTGCCTTTTAGGCGATCCCTGAAAACTCACCTGTTTAGGAAAGCCTATTCCACCTCCTCTTAAAAACTGTATATGTACTCCTTCAATCAGCTCATCCCCACACAGTTATTACCGTCTGTATCATTTGTCCCTCCTTGTAGATTGCAAGCTCTCATGAGCAATGGCCCATATGTTGTAAAGCGCTGCGCAAACTGTTGGTATTATACAAATCCTGTATAATAATAATAATATTCACAATGGTCTCATTGCTATAGAGGAATCCTCTTAAGTTTGTTTCAGTTCACATTAACATGTTCAAATAGGCAAAGGAATACTTTAAAAGGAACTTCATCCTTATTTTCAGAATGACAACAAAGACACCTTTAGACATTTTTAGAAATGACAATCTACAAACAGATACTTCTAGATAATTGCCGGCTTTGTATCGTTTGCATACCTTATTTTTCTTTTCTTCCTCAGTCTTCTGACAGTGGCCATTTTTACTAAGGGCAGATTAATATATCTCCCTTTACTTCCTGGAACTCTGGCACATGTGACCAGGACATGTGACCATGCACATACTCAGGGGAGGAAAATACCTTTCCCTGAGATCTCATGAGATTTCCCATCTGCTGATGTAACCTTCCCAGGATGCATTTCTTAGGTACAGGCTACATCACTAATGCCCAAGAGGACCAGGAAGTGGAAAAACTGTAATTGTAAGTAAAATAAAAATATTTTTATTTAACGAATTAATGTAAGATGATTTAATATCAGAATGCAGCGCTGTGTGCTGATATGATTTTTAGTGAAAGGGGGTAAAGGAGTTTACTTCAATGAAAACATTCAAAACAATTAGTAGATTTAGTGCTCTAGATTACAAAAGATATCTGCAAATCAAGATTTAGCCTTGCCTTAGGACCCACCCCTGTCAGCTACTTAATATAATCTGATGCCGAAACTTTTTTTGTTTTGGATAGAGTGGAGAGGGATTAGAACACATGTGAGGTTTTTATTCGGGATGCACCGAACTTGCCCAAATGCTTCGGTACCTTCCCCGATACCGGAACTTCCCGCAAGAGGAAGATTTCTTCTGACCGGCAGTGTCGTAGGGACACATGGAGCCAGCTTCCCTTGCGATCAGGAAGCTGGGCAGCGAGTAATGACCTGCCTCTCGGCTTTCTGATTGACCCAGGAAGCCAGGTTCATGCTGATGGACTGGGAGGCCGGCTTCCCGGCCAATCATCATCTAGCTGGCCAAACAGCCGTCTCCTTGCTGATTGATAATCAAGCCGGCCAAACAATATGAAGCTGGCTTTCTGGGCAATCAGGGAGCTGGCTCCATGCCAGCGGAAGCACCGGTATCGGTACTCTGTATCTGCGAGTACTTTAAGCAAAGTATCGATACTCGTACTTGATACTGAAAAACCGGTATTGGTGCATCCCTAGATTTTATTCCTGTATGTGCCCCCATTAGGGAGATTTTTCTAATTTGTCCTGGTGACCGTTATCGCTGAACGTGAAAGAAAATCCCAAATTATGGGTTGTTAGCAGAACAGCTATAGATGGGAAATCTTCCAATGGGGTCACTAGTTCTGATGCCTCTGATGACCACCAGGGATTTCCCTCTACTTTTCACTTCTTGTTGTGGCTATGAGACAGGAAGTGAAGGGAAATCGTCCCAATGTGACACAGATGCCAAAAAAAATCTGACAGATGTTATAACCCTCCCTTCCTCTATTCAAAACTATATATATATTGTAACAAGGACACTCGACTGTAGACCGCAGGTGCAAGTAAAATGCAGTTTTAATAAGGTCATACGCCATTCATCTCGTTCCATCCACAGGGTAGACCTCCCCTGTTGCACAAGATAGCTTCCCTCGTGAGCCCTCACTGCTCTCTCAGCAGTGTGTCCCAGGGGTCCTAGGGTCACCGACCTTCCCGACCTCTCCCAGCCTTCCCTGGCTGTTCCACGTGTCCCGCACGCACCTGAGTCTGCTGTGGCTCTGTGCTTCCTGCACCCACATGACTCCAACTCCAACTCTGAGCACTGGGCTGGCTTCTAATAAAGCTGCTCTCAGCCACTTGATCAGCCCAAGCTGGTCATTGGTAACACCTGGCCCCAGGACTGGAGATCTCAACCCACCCAGAGCTCTACGAAGTCTCCAGAGCTCCAGATCCCAGCTACAATTAGGAAAACCTGGACGAACCTGAAAAGCCAGGCTCTTCCTTATAACATGTTTCACATTCTGGACCCTCTCAGCCCCTTTGGCTGAGAGTCCTGGGTGCCAAAGTCGCCATACTACACCGTGGCATTGGCTTACACTGCCACAATATATATAATATAAAAAGGTTTTGGATTCATTCTACTTTAGGAAAGGTTTACACATGAATGGCAAAGAAAGTAAAATAAAAAAGGCAGAAATATAATAGATAAGGAGGAAGGAGAGAAATAAGTAAATTA